ACAACACTAATTTAAATTACTACAACAAAATAAACAAAAGCATAGTTCAACCTACAAAAACATCGTAATTCCACGCACATATTTTGTCCTTCTTAGGTGTTTTGACGTTTACATTTTATTTCTTGTCATTTTACACAAACCTTCCTAAAATATTTACTGTCCTTTATTTATAATTAGTTATAAGATAGTAAATCACACTATGTTCAAGTTTCTGAGAAATAAGTGGAACAAAATTAGACAACATAATGTAAAATGTTTTGCTGATAAGACGTGGAATACACAAAAAAGCTGCAGTTTTTTTAGGAGTTTATTTGCAGTATCCAAAGATTTAACTATACCCTTAAAACTAAAAACCTTAGTAAAGTTTTACAAAATTTTATGAGAATTTCTTAACAACGAATTACATTTTGAAGTTTGTACAAGTTAACAAAGAATAGTTAGGTTTTGTCAGAAATCGTCTGCTAGTTTTATCAGTAACCTCTCCTCCGTAAAAATGTATATAACCAAGTAACACACTCTAATCAACTATACTCTACTCTAATTGGCCGAATGTGGAGATCCTCTATTAACGGAAGTTTTACATTTTGTATGCAAATTTAAACCTGAATTCGCCTACTTTTGCTGTCCATGCTGAAGAAAGTTTTGTATTTAGTTTCCACTCGGTGAAAGAAGATACAATCAACAAAACAAATAGCAATTTAGGAAGCAAATTTGAGGAGCGTAAAAGAAACTTTATAATTTTGTGTGATGATGATTAAAGATGGGCGTAACAAAAATAGCAACTGGAAACAAAGTTTGTGTTTGGGGTGTTTGGGAGGGATTGTAATTTGACAAAAGATAAATTAGTAAGAACGCTTCTTTTGAACAACCGCCGCTCATCATTCATTTTCCGCCATTTCTAAAATGTTAGTTATGTTTTGAATCCAAATGTTCAAATCCCGCCAATCACTAGTTCCAATTCAACCATTCAATCTAAGTTAATAATACCGCAACCTCTAAGCTTAGCCTAAAGTAATGTAAAAAAAAACTTTCCAGACTAGAGCCTGGTAAAAAGTATGTTATATGAATGAAAAAAATACGTACTGTAAAGAGGAGATAACAACGTTCTAAAGTCGCTTCAAAGTTTTATTCAATTGTTTGTCTCGCGTTTATATTTTTTATGGATAAAGATAGCTTTTTAGACCCAAGTGCGTAGTTTATCTGAATAAAATTGGTTGATTTTCAACTTATGTAATCTACTGATTATCAATTATCTACACAATATGTTTAATCTTTGTTATTACATACAGTGTGTTATTAAATCATAAAGACATTTTATATAGAAATAAGTCAGCCGAGTGAGAATCGAATCAAACTTCAGAAGGATTAAGTTTTAATAAAGTTATCGATAATTTCTTTGGTGAAAGTTTGGAAGCAAACATTGATTTGGTTTTTGTTTTTGTCTAGCTTGGAGTTACTGTGATGAAATACAATAAAATAAATGCTTCGATGAAGACAACAACATTGCTGTTACATTGTCAGAATCGAAATTGTGCTATAGTACTGTCAGATATTATGTTTCAATTTGTAGCGTACTATTAGTTTTCAAGTAGAAATTGGAACAATTGAACTGCAATTTCCCATGTCGGCATCCTACTAATACACCTTCATTAAAGTTTCCGATAGTGGTTAAATTAACTACGACTCATAAACAAAAGGGTATTCATCAAACCGTGCGAGAACAGCAATAAAACACGCCTACGTCGGCAATTAACCTGTTTAGGCTACAGTTCCTGGAGATAAAGAGCAATTAATAGGCACAAAGGCATATTAGAGTAACGGGAGTGCGACGCTAGCGCTGTGGCGAGCGTTGGGTGCGGCGGTCGCGGGAACTATCGGCAGATGCGAATCAGCTGATGAAGACGGAGCAGATGTTGATGTTGATGGTTGCCGCCATTAACATAACCTAACCTCTCGGCGGCGGATCAAAGCCCGGGAAGGTGGATCTGGCCATTATGCTACTTCAAACGGCGCACCCCGATAATTATTTAATGAGATGCCATTTGTCGGGGACCTAATGAAATGTAACAGAATCTACCGAATAGTAAACATCCACTTCTGGGCGGCCAAGGTGTACTGTATTGTCATAGACACACAGGTGTTACCTTGGTTATGTTTGGTTGATGTGGATATAAGGTGGTTCTTAATCACCTTTTTACCGCGTCTACATCTATCATCCCCATTTGTGGTTGACGGCGTCAATAATAATACCTAAAATTAAAACACTACATATTATATACGAGTACTTGAACAACGAAATGCTCAGGCTGTGGATGCCATTAATCGTCATTCATTGGTCATCATAACAAATTGGATTTGGCAAAAAATGACCCTAAGTAAATTGACTATTGGTCTTAAACAAAGCTACAAAGTGTCATCTTCCTCCATTCTATACACAATCATCCTGCACCTACATTCATGATCAGATTATAATAAATGAATAATTTTAATATGGATGAATTTAAAATTTAAGTAAAGATGGGTAATGGACAAATTGAATATTTATCCTCCCCAAAGTATGTGAATGGCTTAGCCAAACTTCCGCCTGTTTAGAATTTGTTTCAAGAGTATGAACTCAAACTTAGCCTACTTGTGTAATTATTGTATTACACTAAAGAATTTATTATCAGTGAACCTTTTTCTAATTTTTTGTCTTCTGTGAACTCTAACATTATAGTCTACAAATACTCCACATTGTTTACCATATAACATTTGTTTTAATTCGTTTAATGTGTATATGTAATAGTTTTATCCCCAATAGTTTAACATAATTTTTTTTTAATTTTTAATTTTGAAAGTTATATTTTTGCTTGTATTATTGCATGGCGAACATGAAAGTGAATTCCTGGTTATGCACAAAGGGGTCTCAGACAAAGGAGCGATGCAGTCTGTAAGAGGTGCTTCAACCCTTACACTCTCAGAACAACCCACATCTCACACAACCCCTTGGCACTCTTACATTCTACATGTGCTGCTGTTGACACTGGGTTAATTACCGCAGAAAACTTCCAACTTGTTTCTTTGACTTGCGTAAATATGACGGATGTGAACACACAGCTCTTTGACAGCGATGTGTTTGGTTTGATTTACATTGGAGGGGTGGAAGATTTGAGTGGTATCTCTATAGATGTTACCAGAAATGTCTGTAATGCGATATATTCTTTTATATCGTCCTTTAAGGTGGGTCAAAACTGGTATTTCTTTCCTAGGACGCTAGGCACGAGCCCGGAATTGTTTTTCACATTACTTCTGGCTAGACATAGGGGTTGCGGCATTATCACATGGATAAAATCCATTGGTGATTAGGCGGGATTTGAACCCGGAACCTCTGGAACCGAAGTCCCGCGCTCTAACCACTAGACCAACTCGCTCCCCCATATTAATAAAAATTATTTAAAATAAAAGTTCGTATCGGTGTGATCCATTGTTGTTTTGTTATTAACTGAAATCCACTGCTTCTTTAGTAAGGACCATTTATATATCATCAATTATTGGGTTAGTTGGTTCAGTTTGTTAAAGCATTAAAAAGCTACTGTATAGACTATTTTCAGATACTCACAAATAAAGACAAAGATGTATACACAAGAGTGAAATGCCGTGTGTAGTTCAGTTACTAAGATCAGTTTTATCTTTAGTTATCCCCGTAAAAGTCTTGCCTTTTCTCAGGATCGAACTGGCGACAACCTTTTGATTACCAAGCAAACTCTGTATCCACCTAGTCACCTTTTTAGGGGCATTTTTACATCAGAGTTAGTTTTTTACCTACTGAAAAAATTACAACTAAAGAGAATTTAAAGTTTTATAATTACAACCGGTAACGTTATAGTGTTATTTTTAAAATTTCAAATAAACTTTTGGATTTAGGATATTTAATATCATAAATTCAAAAGATTTCACAGGATTGTACCTTATATCATTTTAATAATGTAAAGAAACTGTTAAAGGGGTTTCGACAAAGCTATATTAATTTTGACATGAATCCAAAAAGGGCAAACGGTTAATTTGCCCAGAGACTTCTCGGATTGACAACTCCGTTTCATTACTGTGTTTGAGAAGAAGTCTCGTTATGTGAGTTGAAAAGAAGAAACTTCACAATAATCCTATTGTTGTCATCCAAATTACTTTCCATATTTTGTAAAAAAAATAAATGTGTTAGCTTAAAAAAATTAAACAAATAACTTTGGTATGTGAACAGATACAAAATTATGTTTACTTTTGTCAGTAATGTGTTTTTACCAATTTTATTAATTTGGTTTGTCAGGCTGTTTAGTTTTCTTAGTGTCTTTCACTTATAACCGAATAGAAAAAATAGTCCTATGGCAAAAATAAAGCTTTCTCCCAAAAAATGTAAAAAACCAAACTAAAATATTTTACAAAATAAAGAGTTCATACAAACACCGACTTCATTCTTAAATAAAAATGTTTGGTTCGGTTGTTGATTTTACGTTTAACGATTTATGGGGAGTTTTAAGTGATAACAATTGTACATGTTTTCATTATTCACACTCAAAACATCAATTATTGCAGTTTCATTCCAAACCATTTTGTCGAGCTTAGTAAAAAAACAAATAATTTAGTAGGTTTAAGTGTTCTTGTACGCTCAATGGTTATAGAGAAAATTCCTAAAACTGTAAATGTAAAATTCCCATTTTATTGTTATGGAGAATACTGTAAGTAAATTGTTGTGGTTTGCAATCTTATGAATAAATTTTAATCAAATTCCAAAATTATACTAGTTTTGTTCTAAGCTTCCAACAACTGAAAAACAAACTTTATTAACTTCTCCGTTGCAGCAAATCTTAAAACCTTATGCTGTTTAATTAGGGAATGAGTGTGACACTTGAAAAATATTTTAGTGAAAATCCAATCAGAAATAGAAATTTACATACTCTACAGGTTTGCTGCGGCGGGGGTATTCAAGTATTCTTAAGTATCCTACAGTGACTTTTGTTTTGTTGCAGAGTTCTTCAAAGAGCTGCTGACGACAGCCAAGGGAGGGTTCCATGACATGTTCAAGCGGACGTACGGCATCATATACGAGCAGAACTCATTTGTGTTCACTGACCTGTTCGAGGAGCTTGAACACTATTACGCCAAGGGCAAGGTGGACCTGACGGACACAATGGAGAGCTTCTTTAACACCCTATACCAGAAAATGTTCACCGTCATCAACTCACACTATCGCTTTGATGACAAGTAAGTAGTATTGGTTGGAATCTTGATAAAGATTGGGTTTTTACCTGATGCCATATGCTAACTATCTATGCAGTGATCTGGAGAGGATCACAGAACATTTAACAATACAGTAGAATCTCGATGGTTCACGTGATGACATGACATTTTGGCAATGGCTGATGATGGATCAAAATGGTAAAAAAAGCATTCTTAGTGTTTCCCTGCATATAACAACCGAATACTAAAAAATCTCATTTTTTATCCACTGATGTTGGTCTTATATATCAGTTTCAAAAGAGAATTTTGTACACAATTTGTATTGGAGCAGACATGAAACTTGAGGATCAGTTGCTTGACTAACAAGTTTGAGTTTATCAGTAGAGGTTATCAAATCAGGTTGGTTCGGTCCAGTTAACACTTAGCACTCTATTAGCCAGCGTCTGACCTCTCGGTCAACATTCACTTAACTTTTCCTCGAATCTCTTAACAATGATGAAATATTAATTAGGCCTAGTTGTTATTGATTTGTTAGATATATCGGTATTGTTCTACAAATCTTTGGACCGAAAAATGTGAATTCCTGTGATATCTACTGAGTTATCAGGGTTATCATATGTTTAAATTTTAATGGGAACTTCGTCACTTCTGCTGATGTATGTGTTCTTGTTAAAATAATAGTAATTTGATAAATAAATTGAATTATAAAGATGATAATTAATTAAACACATTAATTTATTTAATCAACAATAAACATCAATAAAATTGATAGAGAGTATTGATTATTGAAGGTGTAACACTTTCAATCAGTTATTCTATAAAATAACATTTTAATTTTTGTTAAAGGAAATTGTTTGAATTTTAATTCAATAAGTACACCTGATTATTTGAACTAAATATCACACGTTTAGCATTACCATCCAATGTTCAAACGGCTACTGAAAGAGGTTCATTATCTTTTGGATGGCTTAAAACTGGACCTAGCTGTTTTTGTTCATTGTGCTTTTAATAAATGATCCTTCATTAATGATCATTGTATAAATGATGCAATGATTACGGAAACTCAGAATGGAGTATCAACTGCATGTCACCCAAGTCTCTCAGAGTGTTCCACAGCCAGTAAGTGTCCAAGTTCTGCTGCTGTATAAGTATAAAGGTACCATAATCATTAGTAGGGTCTCGATTATCTAACCTAAACTCACTGTTAGTTAAAAAACAGCTGATCTTAATCATGAACAAAGCTACACTGATAAATTCACTCCATTCTACACTCACCTTTGTATCCAGCTCGAAATGCAAGTTATTCATCCTATTTATCTCAAAAGTTTGGAGTTCCATCAACCTAGAATTATTCACCATAACTCTACGTGCTATAGAATTGAAAAAGTGTAGTTACTAGTCAGGCTCATTTCTCCAGAACAGTAGAACAGTTTGACCCAATCTGTTAACAAACTCTTCAAACATTTGTCAAGACACCTTCATCTCAGCAAGCAGGAGAAATACAAGATGTATGCTTCTCTTCTTTTCAACATTAAAATAAAATTGTGTCATTTAATTTCACATTTTAATCATATTTTGAATTGTTGCAGATACCTGCTGTGTGTTAGTGAGCACATGAAGGAGCTCAAACCGTTTGGTGACGTCCCTCACAAACTCTCAGTGGAGATAAAACGGTCGTTCGTTGCAACGAGAACGTTCGCTCAGTCGCTCAGTATAGCAGGGGATATTGTCAACAACATGCTCAATGTAAGTGGCTTACTGGTGGATACAGCTTTATTATAGTATATATTAGCAAAATGCTGTGGAGTATAAACTCCTGTGTTGTATGTTAATTCAATTTCAATCTGGACTGCCTGTCACAGAAAAATTAATAGGCACTCTTGATAAATTTGTGACTCGGTCGATAGTGCGATGGACTACGAGTCCATTGCATGGTTTGCGTCCTGGTGCAACCACTAAATTTGATCAGTTCAATTCCCTCTTACTGAACATGATCCAGGCATAGGCTCGATACCTATGTAGATTGTAGGTGAATGAGATGTTAGAGATTCGCGTTGCTAGCTTTCAAAACATAAATAAACAGTAAGAAGAGAGTTAATTCAATATTTTTGAGACTGACTTATGTTTTACTCTGAGTGGATGTTTTTAAACATAGTTACCATTTTCTATGTTTTTTCGTTAAGAAATAGTCTAAACCCTATAGTTACCATTAAACATTGACCTTTTTCCCAGAAAAGGAAGGTACAGAGAAAACTATAAATTTTTAGCTAAGTGATGTTTAGCATAGCTGCTGGTGTCTAGGGCAAATTCCAACCCCCCCCCCCCCCACACCACCATGTACTACAACGCTCACTGTGGAGTAAGACCCTGTGCTCTGTGTGATATGAATTTTTGCACTGTGCTCGCCACTCAGGCTCTTCCTTGCTTATTACAAGTATATTTCCGGCACAACATACTAGAGCTAAAAACGCACCGACGTTCCATAAGCTTGTTTTCTTTGCACCTACCTTCTCTGGGCCTTTGGTTAGATACATTTACTATTTAGATATATTTAGTTCTTACCGTCTTTGTAATCCAGAGGTAAAACAGCACTCAGGCCTTTTTGGAGATAGAGGGGCCTACACTAAACTAAAGCATTATTTTCACATTTTACTCAAAATTTTTTCAGTTACATTGCGTTGGTTAAATAAATATTACAATTGCAAAGATAGGCATGCTAGCTAATCTAAGTCAGTAACATAGCTGTCAATTGATTAATTTAGCACTCATAGATCACTCATTTCTATCTCCTAGCCTATCTCCTTGTGTCGGCGTCATAACTTTCTAATCTATTCTAACATTTACAGATGCCACTGACGGAGGACTGTAGTAGAGCCCTGGTCAGGATGTCGGGATGTCCGTTGTGTCAAGGGCTGGATGTCAAGACCTGCTACAGTTACTGCTCGAATGTCATGAAGGGATGTCTGGCTCATCACGCCGAACTCAACAATGAGTGGAACAGTTTTGTGGGTGAGTGGCTTTAGGTCATTGCTTACGAAAACGTCTATATCATAGACATCTTTTATCCATACTGATTTAATTCTTGAAATTATTTGTGAGTAAATAGCTAATGGAAAATTATAAAAATACCAGAGAGTTTTATTTTTTTATTTAAGTATCTTCAATGGTTAACTCTTATTTTTATATTTACTTTGTAAATAGGATTGTAGGAAATAAAATTAAGCAAATCAATTTCACTTTAGTAACCAACCAAATAATTTATAGAACAGACAAATTCATTTCCAAAACAGTTTGCCATGTCATTTGTTGTACCTACTAATTACCTTCTGAAAGTCGTCAGTGTAACGTGAGCGAGAGCGACCATCAATGCAAGATCTAATTGCACTTGTCATTACTGGCAGTAACAGGCAATTACACACTGATTTCAACTGTTAAAAGACATGCCAATTCAATTCAACTGGTTATTTCCAGTCATTGATGATTGATTTTTCAAAGGCCCTTTGAATTATTGAGAAGACTGTGTAATTGAATGGCCCATTGAAAGCGACTCTGAAGTTTGCCTTGATAAGATTTAATTGTCAGGCTTCAAATTTCTTCAGAGTTCAAGGTTGATAGTTAACTGTGACATTTTTGTTATTTTTTATATTCGTAAGAGATTTTTTTGCATCATGACAAAATTGACTTATTATTTATTGACAATAATTATAATCTTACAATAGATGTCTGATTACAAAGATACAAAGAATCTCGACTGATTTTTTTACAAATTTTTAAACATTTTTTAGTTGTTATGGGACATTTTTATACAAGCCCTATGCTAGAGCTCAAGATGATCCTAGCAATATGCACAGGATCAGTTATCAATAATGGATAAAAAAACCGTCAGAAAAAATACAAAAATTGAAAAGTGATAAAAATACACATTTTTTAGTTTTGAAAACATTTTTTATCAGAAATTCAAACTTTAGTATAGGATACTTCCTTTGATCCAGCATAACCAGGACTATATGCATGCGATGCTGGTTTAAAAAATGCCGTATTGCGGGATAGTTATAGGGAAAACTGTTAGTAAAACAAAAGTTAACATTAGCCTATAAAATGTTTATATGTTACACTCAAATTAAAATACAGTACAGTAATGTATAAGGAGAAATATGTTATTGTGAAGCTCAAATAAATGTAGGCCTACACTCAGTGATGGTTCCAAGAGAGTGGGGTCTAAAGGGACTATAGGAGCTAAGCTCCCCCCATTGGACCCTGAAAATATATATTCAACATTAAAAAATGTAACAGAGATGTTTGGACACAGTTGTAGCGTTAAACATGGCTTTAAAAGTAGCTAAAATTCAGGGGGGAGGACCCCCAGACCCCCCTCCTGGTGTAGAACACCCCCGCTAGCCCCCCTTGACAAGGTCCTAGATCCGCAACTATCTACACTAAAGGCTTAGATTGAGTTTATTTTGGAGTTGACCTCGATGGTTTATTTGAATTCATGAGAGCGTTTTCAAACTCTTTTGAGCTGTGTACAAATAATATAAAATATTTCAAACATTTTAACTTTTTAGTTTTTTTTTTTTTTTTACATAAAATAAAACAATAAAACATATACAGTAGAACCCCTCATATCCGGCCACCACGGGACCAAGCCCCTGGCCGGATAACGATTTGGCCGGATAAACCAACCTACTATGAAAATGACAATTCATACCTAATAATAATAGGTAATCAATATATGCAATCAAAAGTATCATTTAATTCTGTTCTGGGATCATTTTTAGAAAAATAAACATGTTTGTAAAAAGGAAAAAAATATTTGTAGGTTAAAGTCATTACTGTAAGTAATGAATGTACAAATATTATGATTCCAGGTAACAAAATATATTAAATGGAGGTAAAAATGACAATAAATTGTACTTAAAGATCATTAGGACTTAAATGGTACTTGCGCATTTCTACTCAACATTCTTAACCATTTTGTGAAATACAAAAATTAATGTACTCGTACTGTACTGTTCTAAACCCACTTTGGAAATAATCAGACAACTGATCAGAGGTTAGGCCTACTAGCTCAACTGAGCATAGTGACTCAACAAATAATAAATGTATAAACAAACAGATAAATAATGAGAACAATTTATTTTATGACTTGAGCAGTCACAAAGACTAGTGCTTGTATCTAAACGTCTGTAAGGTGTGAGAAAAAAAATTGATATTGGCTTCCTGGAAGGGGCCGGATAAACAGAGGACCGGTAAAACCAAGGCCGGATATGAGGGGTTCTACTGTAACAAGTTCTAAAGACATGCTATATCATAGGACGCAAGACGCAAAAAGTTAATTATGCAGATTATTCAATGCGGGAAATATACTTGTGACAAGCAAGAAAGAGCTCTAGTGGCATGGCAAGCACTGTGCGGAAATTCCTGTGGCACAGAATCTTCTATGTGAGCGTTGTGATGGCGAGGGGGGTGTTAGACTTTGCCCTAGTCACTGACTAGTCCATAACATGGGAATACTGGTGTTAGAGAAAGGTCTAGACTTTGATCACAGAATAAGCATAGGCCTACTCAAGTGAAAGCTAAGCCTGACGTTTGTTGCAGATGCCATGGACAAGGTGACGGAGAGGCTGATAGGTCCATTCAACATACAGATGGTGGTCGGACCTATTGACACCAAGATATCTGACGCAGTCATGAACTTTCAGGAGAACTCGTACACCGTCTCTCAGAGGGTGAGTGTGTACACATTTAACTTGTTTTTGGATGTGTTTTGAATCAGTCGGTAATTTTCTGCTTAGTTATCTACATGTTACGTTATGTTTTTGAGGAAATTTTATTGTTTGTGAGTAATATGATAAATTTTATTTTGTTGTCTAGAGATTGAAACTGTTCTTGCACGACTGTAAAGCAATCTGTAAGTGGCTAATTTAACTATGTTCTTTTTTTTAAAAAAAAGGCTATGGCTGGTCCAAATATAAAAGTCAATGACTCATCAGTCTAAACGTTCAGCAAGTTCTAACAGTAATGTGCTACACAGGTATTCAACGGTTGCGGAGGACGACCACTGCTAGGTGAGAGGCAGCGTCGTAGTCTCTCGTTCCATCCCAGGTTCCGAAGGGCAGGAGCCAGTGGGGAGGACGGGCGAGGGAGACACAGAGAGCGAGCGGGGTTGGACCTAGAGAGGCTAGTGAGGGACATCAGATCAAAGGTGAAGGACACCAAGCAGTTCTGGGCCAGACTGCCGTATCAAGCGTGCAACAACGACCCCTACGTGGCCGGCGGCAAGGTCAACGACTCCTGCTGGAACGGACAGGCTACTGGCAGGTAGGGATGATTTATATTTTTAATCTATTTATTAAAATACATCACATAAAGCCTAAGGAGTGCTTCTGCACGCAGGCAGGTAAATTGTCAAAATATAAATTGTATACTAGTGTAGAATTAAAGTATATTAGTGATTCCAGTTGATTTTGAAATAATATAAGACTATAGAAATATTGGAATATTGTCTCTTATCCCTTCATGCTCATTGTCGTAAAAAAACAGGATGGTTTCTCTTTGTTCAGGATTTTATCTCTCTTTTCTCAAGATGTTTGTGTCTCTTTTACCTTCTTACCTCTCAGTTCAGCTGAACAAGTTAAAACTTCAACTTGCACCTTTGTTGAATGTTTTTAACAATCTGTTGGTTGTACCGACAAACCTTATAGTTTAGCGAGAATAGTGTCAATTAGAGTGACGAGTGGGATGAGCATGAACACAAAACCTTTTTCCCAACACTGTACTTTTTGTTATTTTGAAGAGTAATCTCAACAATTAATTTTTTTATTTTTTTATAATTTTTATTTCCAAAAATGAAAAAATACAAATTTACAAAACACATACAATTTAAGCCACAAAAGCCAATATATGGCTTGTCTGCAGCAATTATTCTAATTTTGTTATTTCACAGTGCTTTTTTATTCAATCAGTCTTTATTTTCCCTTGTTTTTCTGTAAGAGTTCAATAATATACCAAACCAATCATAGAATTTAAAGTAGTCAGATTTGAACAATTATTAATAAACAATGAAAAAAGTAACAGTAATAAACGGATTTAAAACTATTAAAAAAGTAACAATAATAAACTTTTTGTTATTTTGAAGAGTAATCTCAACAATCAATTTTTTTATTTTTATTTCAAAAAATACAAATTTACAAAACACATACAATTCCAAGCCATTGGTAATACAACAAGAATCAAGTAGTCCTCATAGCGTTGTTGGGAGCTTTTCCCTCATCCCTCCCACAAGCCATCCTAATTTACGCAATCTGTACTAAGGAAATACTGCATCAAAATCAACTATTTGCACACTATAGAAATAAATATTATGTTTACTGTGAAGTGACCACTTTACTCTGATACCACAGTTATCCGCACGTCGTGATGGGAGATGGTCTGAGCAACCAACAGAACAATCCTGAGGTAGCTGTGGATGTGAGTAGGCCAAACTCATTGCTCAACGAACAGATATTTGCACTCAAAACCATCACGAGCAAACTCAAGAATGCTTACAATGGGATGGATGTTGAATGGATTGATATAGGTAAGTGCTTTTAAAAAATAAGTATAAATTGTAAGTTCTTTGGAAATGGGGTTAAATAAGTTCAGGAGGTTTAAACAGTTTGAACTTAAACTGACTTTTATCACCAATCTACTTTCTGAAGGAGTCCTCTATTAGGAAAAAATATCTTTTATGATCTGGGAAAATTGTTGTGTTTCTTTAAGGAATTGTAGACAATAATATCATAACATGTTAGAAACTATCAACACAATTCTAATAGGAATGTAACCACAGTTCCACAATTTCTGATCACTGAGGTGGATTCTAGGGGAATGAATGGAATTCTGGGTTATTTGGTGGGAGTGTAATTCCAGGGAGAAAATAGTTAGAAAAAACAACCTAACTAACTGGTGAATTAGAAGCAATATAATGAGTTCTGTATTCAAATTTTTGTCAGATTATAGAATTTCAATCTATTACAGTCAAATTTTAAATATCGCTAAGATTGATTAATATTAAAAAACTTTAGCAATCAACTGTCCAATAACGCAAGATCCATAAGTTGTATATTAACTTATAGAAATTGAGTACTCTATATTTTGTTACCTTACTAACTATAAACAACTATTGTTGCAGAGGAGTTCAGTTCTGGTAGTGGTTCAGGCGAAGGTCCCGTGGATGAAGACTCGGAAGATGACTCTGGCTCAGGGATGGGCTTCCCTACAGAGCGAACAGTTAACCGTCCCGACAACGTACCAGACCCGGTCAGACCGGACCCTGGAAATGACCAAGACAACCAGTTACATCCCATGGAGGACCGGATACGGTATAACGTGTCGTCTACCGGAACGTCTGCACATCAGACGCAACGGATGTCTCTCAGCAGAGCCCTGGTGTCGTATTTAGTCCCGGTGGTTGTCATGTGGTTTGGTGGCGCCGTGTCGGAATGGCTGCAGTAATTGATGAAACAACTGATAGACCTTTATAAGTATCTCGTAATGATACATGGCTCCAGTAACTGCCAAGTCGAAACAACCGATTCAATAAGTATCTCGTAACGATACATGTGATTAGTGAGTCAATATTTGACCAACAAAGAGTTTGGATCATTAATAACTCAATCAGGTATAAGTGCGGTTCCTTCAAATGAGAAGTGGATAGGGGATTGTCCAGGATATTTGTGTCTTTCACACTAATGTGAATTTTATTTGCATTCAGTTTGATTACGAAATAACGCTTGTTTACCATGCATGGACTGCATGAATTAATAAGCGATGTTGCAAGATTTGTTTCTAAATCTCATAAAATGATGCCTTTTACAGAAAAGCAAGCACAGCTTTTTTGCAGAAAAGCTTTCTCTGAATTGAAATAAATTTCTGTGACAACGTAAAATAATGGGTTATGAAATATATTCTTCTAGTAAAGGTTAATTGAATTTCCCTTAGGTTACTGAATTTTATAATTTGACAAATCTCTGTGTACTTACCGTAGAAGTAATATTCATTTCTGCCCACTTATACAAATATAAAGAACTTTTTCTGTGATAAACTTACCCATGGAAAGTCTACTTCCAAGAATCCTTCCTAAAAAGTAAGCTGGCATTTATTTACTTAATTTATTAGATTTCTGTGTTCATTGTCTTAGTTAATTTTTATCCTGCATGTTTCCAAGATCTTTTACAAAGGAATCTTGAAACGCTCCCTCTGTGATCAAAGACAACTCGGTTATTTCAACCGACAAACAATCATTAAAAAACTTCTCTACTAATAATTAAGTAGCCTATCACGTTAAGTGTAGAGTTAAGAATTTTGTATACTGAACCCGTAGCTAGGAACTTTAACAAATTATCAACTAAGAGGCTGTTACTTAAAACTAAACTAATGACTAACTGTTGCAGTGAAGTTAGAATATTGTGACAGAATGTACATAAAGTGAAATGCTCGACTGACTCTCCAAGAGTCAAAAACTGGATGAGATACGTAAAAAGTGGTGCGAATTGTTGTTATTGTGATTTAAATTGTTTTCCTTAAAAGGTTAAATCGAGATTTCATGGTAGCTATTTAGAATAATCAAATTTACCAATAGATGTTAAGGAGGTTTGTTCATTTGTGTACTCTCATACTGCAGTAACTTGGCAAACTACTTTTGTTGATCCTAAAATTTGAAGAGAAAAATCTGAACAATAGTTAATTATTCATGGTGGTACTGGTTTTAAGTTATTCCAAACTAAAAAAAAATTACATGCTCAGTATAAACAAATAAAAAATTAAATAGAACAAATATAAAAGATGTTTAAAATATCAGCAAAAAATATTTTTTATTTTTTTAAATAAGCTAGTTTTCTTAAAAACAGTAAACACTGGTAAAATTTATTAAATTACTCGTCAATATCTCTTTCAATTGATTTTACAATTTCTAATAAATTTTTGCAGTTTATGAAAGTACAAAAATGAAGTATAGATAGTGATTGTTAAGGAAAGATAAAATGCCTTCGTAGTCAAATCCATCAACTACTAGGTCTTGTAAATATTGTATAGATACACTCGTAGCCTGTGGACATTTTTAGGACTTTGCGTCAATTTAACAAATTTGTAATTACATACCAATGTTTTCAACTGAAACTGTGTGTTATGTCTTGAAACTCTTTGATGTGTATATGTTAATTTAATCTATTTATTTAATCTGATACTGACTTGTATGTGTCACACTTCCAATTTATACACATTTTCCCAATATTGTAAATTTTAGGTGTTTATTTTATGTTATCTTTCTTGTAGGATTAATTTTTACTCATTGTCTCAAATGCTAATCGCAAGTGCCTCAAATGTGGCTATGACTCATTTATAAAAGGCTGTTTAGATTTTTGATACTTTTGAAAACGTTTTCTAAAGTTACATTCAATTAGAAGCCAAATGTTGGAAAAATATGTTTTAAAATAGAGAAGTGATTTTACATACTAGTTTTTTCAAACTACATTGCCATGAAATACCCTAATTATTTTTGTGAAAGATCCTTTGTTGTGAAATATGAACATGTTTATTACCCTGAGTAAGTTAAGAAATTGCTACAATATTGTAAAGCGGGTCCTTTTAGAGCAATCGGGTGAACCAAGAAAGTTTTAAAGGCTTAACAGTACCATAATTTCGTAGTTTTAGTTGTTCATAAAAAAATCATAATTTAAAAGCAGACAATACTTTTCACAAGATTTGTTAGTTTTCAAAGAAATAGCATTTTATGAATGGTGTTTTGTAATAGTCTATAGCACTTCAGTATAAAATATGTACTCAGGGTTATTGTTGATAATTTATTAAGTATTGCTGTTTTCACTTTTTATAAAATCAATACTCACTTTAAAATAATTGATATTTATAACAAATTTCAGTGGAGTCAAAATGTTGAAGGTTTTTTTATTAATTGTAGAATAGATTTGTATTTATAATTATTTTATTTATTTTTCTCATTTTGAGAGATTCTTAGTCATTCTATAGTGTGTATGATTTGTAATATATATTTTATTGTCGGCTTATATTTTGTATTTTTATATATGTATTGCTTGTTGTAAATTATTTTAGTCTAGCTAACAATTAACATTTTTACAAGGCTGTATAATTTAAAATGTTAAAAAATATATGTGAAAATACACCAATTTTTTTAAATAACGTAAATTATGTTTATTATTTCCGCAACCAATAATCTCTCACTGATTCTTTATACTCAATTTCACCATGTAGAAACATTTTTTAGTGTCCTGCATTGAACCACTTTACACAGTTTAGCCCAATTACATTTTTAACTCTGTTAATTTATTTTAAACTAGAGTGTTCTGTTTTTTGTCTCTTTTTAAGTGTGTTTTTACAGATCCTTTATTATGTTGTGTGTTACTCTCTCATGTTTTCTTTGAGTTACCCATCTGATTAGTGATTAGGGATTTTACTTTTCTGTTATCATCCCACCAGTTCTAGTTTCAGTTGTCCTGCAGATGCCCTAAAATATTTCTTTATGAATGCCAGGCTATGGTGGAAGAAATCCATGTAGTCTATGAGAAGGTTATCAAGCCTATGAATACGACTGATAGTACTGTTAATAAACAGGGCAATTATAATCAGTCCATTAAAAATCAGATACAGGAAGGTAATGTCTTAGACTGCATGCGTATTTGCTAGGGTCTGAAGTCTGAGATATTATAAAGCCCAAAGTACCCATGAACTTTTGAGAAAACTACAAGTCACACCCCCTAATGGGTGCCACCAACAATGATTGCAGTTCTATTAAACACAATCAAAACCCTACATAAGGCTTATTGACTGGATACTTTCAGGGGTCAGTATGTATTTTCTTAATTAATGTAATGTTTACAACACTATGTTAAATACTATGTTATATGCTATGTTCATGTTAATTTATTGTAGGAACTAATTCGGGAGTAAATATGTAGATAGTGTTAAACATGAAGACTGCAGATGCTACACCTACCCAATACCTTGATGCCTTAGATTCACATTTATAAATAAACGAGTTCCATTAATTGAAAATATGTTTTAATGCTGAATTATTTGTTTTTTTAAATCCATGATTGTGGCCTTTAAAATTATGGCATTTTTATGTTTTTCTCTTGTTACCTATCTAACTATACAGTCTAACCTTGATATAACGAACCTCAATATAACGAATTCCTTGATATTACAAATTTTTTTTAATCCCCTAGAACTCTCCATAAGACACAATGTATATTTTACCTCTACATAACGAACAAACCATAACAACGACCTTGATTTAACAAATTTTTCGTGATTTCGGCTAAAATAAGACACCTCAATATAACGAATTTATCATTGTCAGAACCTCTACATTGCGAATTTAACCTCTGCATAACGAATTGTCTACGTCTTTCCCTCCATATCACAAATCCCCCACCCAATTATTGGTTTGGGAAAATCTGTTTCTTTATCAAATTAAATGAAAAGGTCACGTCATCGCTTGCGCTAACATTCGTCTGCTCCGTTTTACATCTTTGTCTGCTGTCGCTGCGCGCGCTATGTTGCAACTGAGAACTGATTTCATTCACTGAGGACTGATCACTGATGACGACGTAATGTTTAGTAAGCTGTGATTGGGCGATATGGGATAACTATGGTGAATTGTACAATTTTTGGATAAAGAGAAACCCAAGAAAGAATATAAAAACAAAACCAAAGAGAAAGAATAGCAACATCGTTATTTTTATTATCCTTAAGTTGGCTATGATTATACACTTTTATAATGACTTATCTAATAATTTATTGTTTTCAATATAAGATTTGTTTCAACTAGCAACACCAATGCTATAGTTAATGATTATTATTGACATTCCTCTGTTGTGATAAATCAGTACCTTACTATAAGTAGCCTACCGGCCTATCGCGAGCAGTAGCTTACACAACTTTCTACTGTTTTGTTTTGTTCTTTACATGGTTTAAGACTACTCAATACAGTGTTTGGCTAGGTTTTTGGAGGGTTAGAACATGCTGTGATTTTAAACTTACAGCTTTTAACCTGTACCGTCAATGCCATTGTCATGATTGCGCAATATTCAAGATCCCTCCCCTTTATTATGCCGGATAATTTAGGTTCTACTGTACAATTTAAACACTGCACTGTAAAGTATTGTAGCCTATGCTACTTTAATTGTATTTTAATGAGGTCAAATCCCGAGCTATATTGACCGACGCTGGTTCTGAACCTCGACTTAGCGAAATTCCTGCAAACCTAACCTCTATATAACAAACCTCGTTTTAACTAAATTTTTGATATAACGAATATTCAGTTCGGTCCCTTCAGATTCTTATACTGAGGTTGGACTATACTACCTTTAGTCAGATAGTGCCATTAATTGACAGCCTAATGACTAATGACATTTGTGTGGGATTACTACAACCTTGCTTAGAATTGAACCAGCAACTTTTTGACTAAATCACAATGAAAACTCTCGGTATTAAGTAGATAACCGTTGACCCAATTTACCAGAACATTAGTTCCTACAATAAATTAACATGAACATAGCATATAACATAGTGTTGTAAACATTACATTAATTAAGAAAATAAATACTGACCTCTGAAGGTATCCAGTCAATAAGCCTTATGTCTTGTGCTAAAAGGTATTATGTAATCATTAAAAAAACCTTCAAATCTACAGATTTGTATTCAAATTACTTACAGGATTGAGGAACAACAAACACTGAATACATGCTAGAACATTAATATACCATATATTGAGAAAAATATATAACAAGATGAAGATAAGCTTAAGTAAAGCAGTCGACAGTTTAATCACAATGACATTACAATAATTCTCTTCTGGTCCTTGATTTCTTGTTACCCTGAAATCCGCACATCTGAAACAGGAAGAACTAATATAACTCACTATAAGGGATTAATTACAAACAATAGACTAAAACAACATAACACTGAAAACGTGAGTAAAGATGATTCTACTTTAAAATCTGTCTAAAAATACTTTTATGGGATGTTTGATTATATGTGTTACTTATTATCCATTATTGCTCTAAATTCAACAAAAGAGTTTGTTCTACAACAACCTCCTTCCATTCACCTTGGTTAGGAGGTTAAAGTGTTCTAATGATAAAAGTAGTAGTAAAAACAATTTAAACCAAAGGAAACCCATGAATCAGTTCTGCCACACTCACCTATCGCACCGCAGTAGTAGAAGCAAGCAGTCCGGCTTGAACTGCCTCCCTCTCCAGTTCCTGTAGTTGTCGTCGCAGTCGCGCTGCACGTTGTCGCATCTCCTTGTCTCTGTCACGCAGCTGCGTCACACATCGCCAAGCCTCGCGTCGCGCACTTAGATCTACGACCCAGCGCAGATACAGCTCCTCCCACAGGTTCTGGTTAAACGTTAGCAATTAGCACACTATAATGTTAATACTTGGACGGTTAAACTGTATAGTTGTCACCACGTCTATCAATAATCTTGCCAAACAAAATAGCTAATTTTGAAGGATTGTTATTCAGTTTCTGTGTAAGTTCACAGCAGCGGGAATTACGCTAGGACCCTGATAGCACAAGTTTCTATTTAAAGTTTGATTTAAACTTTCCACTATTGGAGGTGATAATAACAAACATGTTACAAACTTAAAAACTCACCAGACTAACGGGGGCGACTGTAGGCCAAATAACCCTGTTGTTAGGCTCATACAGAGGGTTAAGATAGTCCTGGAGTATCTCTGGTCTGTTGAGGTAAGACCACAAACTGGCTGTCTTCTTGGATAACATCAGTCTGTCTCTCTCTTCTTCACAATTACCAAGGAATGTACCTGGATGTAAGCATTGATGAAGTGCTTGGATGAACATTTTATTTGGACGTTTGCTTTCACAACATACACATTGCAAAAACTTTATTTAAGAATTACATGGCCTAGACTAAGGTGGTTTGGACATGTGAAAAGAAAGGGTTCCTAGGAACATTGATTTGATAGTGATAGAGGGAAGGAGACCGAGTGGACAATATGGAGATGGTAAATATTTGAGGTTAAGATTTATGTGGAGGAGAGACATTGAGATAGTAGATGGTGAAGGAAGAGGAACAGGAGAGCTAGGAGAAGAAGGCGAGGCCTTGTTGACGCTCACATCCGGAAATAAAGAGAGAAAAAACTATTATGCATTGAAAAAACATTGACTTAAGGACATCAAAATATTATTATAACTTGGACTGCTGTAGTCATTAAAAGAACTGACACTGATGCACATAAAAAATATTATAGATAAGTACCTTTGGCTGTTGTAGCCAGATTCATAATGTAAATGAACTTAGTTTAATTGAACCACCGACAGATGGTGTTGATGTCAATTACCTATTTCTGTCAGATAAGCCAACTTTTTAGCCAAGCATAAATAAAAAATTGATTGTCAAAGCATCTTTTATTTTTCATCAATACCAAGGCATAAAAAAATAAAGAGATCAAGTAGAATTTTTGCAGTAGCTGGTTCATTCGAATCAAAATTAGCTACAGCTGGTAGAAACTGGGAAGGAGACATCCTATATAGATGATATGATAGATGGTACAAACTTTCAGCTAACTCATTGACCTTTTCATATCTGTAGATGAGAACATGAAAACGTCCTCCTTCTCAGAACTTGGCTGCAGCAACTATCATTACTTCAGTATCCTAAGTGATAGTAGATTCTTGTCAAAGACTCACCGAACTGAGAGCGATAGGAGTGCTCGAACAGCAGTATGAGGAGTGATGAGGAGAACTCGAAGCTGCACGGGAACTGAGTCATGATCTGGGTGATGCAGTCGAGGAACAGCAGGAAGGTGGGGGAGTGCTGTTTGGAGCGGGAGGGGGAGTAGACAGAATGGGAGTGGCGGCGGGGGAACGGATGACCTGCTTGTATCCACTCTCTCTCCACCAGGGCTTGTAACCTGCAGATTATATACACATCTTAGAAAAAGTGGGCTATGTACATTACAATATTTGGAAATAATGATTTGAAGGGTTAATTATTCATTTAAAATTATATCTGAATTCAAGTTTGAAAACCTAAAATTACTTGATCTACGAATAAAATTAAAGTCTTTACTTTCCAATAGTACATCAGGTACATAGAATGGTGTCAACAGACAATCAACATTCATAAATTTATAAGAAGTATCCACTTTGAGTCTCTGATCAGATAAAGAGTTGTTATCAAGGATGATTTATCATCGAGGTTAGCAATAAAACGTATCTAAGGGCTGTATGAAATCAAGGGTATTTTAAAAAGGGCCGATTGTTATCGAGGGGCTTCTTATTGAGGTTCCATTGTATTAGAAGTTACTGTTTTTAAACTGCCTGGATTGCAGTAAAATTAAATTAAATTTATGCTTTAAAATCAACTCACCCCCTGACAGTCCGGCAGTCTGGGTTTAATATGATCTGTGTGAGAGAGGTGACGAGTAAAGTAGCGTCCAAACCTTCAGATCCGTGTACCAGCACCGATGCAGACTCCTACAACAAATAACATTACACATGTGTCGCTAGCGATTGATTGGGTATCTCTATTCAGTAAATATCTACGAAAATTAAATTTGTAAAGAGTTATGCTGGGATGGAACTGAATTATGTTAAATTAATAGTAGAGTCTTGATAATTTAAAAACGTGCCTCATTCAAAAATTACTAAAGGAAAAAAATTTAAAACTACTCATGTAAGATTATTCATATTGATTTTACTGATTTTTACCTTCCATAAAAGTATACTACATATGGTTTAAATTACAGTGTACTAGAATAGATAATTTCTTAATCTTGGTTCTAAACACGCCAGGTGCTTAATTTGCTTTAAAATGTGACAGATATACCCCATTAGTTAGGCTTATCAAGACTACTTTCTTGACAAGATCATTTTTTTTTAGAAAGACTCAGCTTATTTCTCAATTCAGTATGTACCCACACATTGCACACAGTTGTAATGTGTGACTGTGAGGTGTGAATATTGTGATCTGCACAACATACATCAACAAATGTTTATTGCTAGACTTTTCAGGAATAGTAAGTAAAAGATGAGTTAGAGTTAGGTGGTGATTTAAATTAAATCCTTGAGTAATCAGGTTTTGTTTGTTCATTCAGCATCAACTCACCTTGTCTAAACACTGGGCCACCAGACAGGAGCAGTTGAGCGTGTCCTTGACATGACTCAGCCAGTTGCTGGACTCTAGCCGAGACAGCCAACGGTCCATGGAGAGGCTGGTGTCGTTACAGGCTGTCAGACAAACCCATCTCAGTAGGCTACACTTGTCTATGAAGATCTTTCAATAAAAACGTAACTCACACTTCTAAATGACATTTCTTTAGACAATTGTAATATACAGTCTAACATGCATTACCCTACTCACTGGAAGAAACAATAACTAATTCGTGAATTTCTAGCTTCAAATTAAAAAGTTTAGACATTCATAATCTATTTGTTAAACATTTTAAATGTTGTTTCTGTGTTGATGGAGTGATGTACGCTAAAAGTAAATTTTACTGTGAGGGAGGATGGTTGATCTCGGAAATGTAGTGTGGGACATATATCCTCAGGTTCAAATCCTGCAAATTACAAATGGTTGGTACCACAATCTGATGGTTCCAACTTGAACTGTGTAGTTCTAACTGTTAAGAAATAGAGAAAAATCCAGTCCTCTTAAGTCTAGGAACAATCTCTGTACTTCAGATCACCCTTTACAAAATTTAATTTGTAATTGTGTAGTTTTACGAGTCTTTAAATCAACAAGTTTGTTGTAAAATCTGTGTCGGAGTCTGTAAGTATCAAAAGTATAAGTGATAGAAGATTAACAACAAAGCAATATTTGTGTTTTTTTTGTATTTTCCAAATGCTGGCTTTATTGGGTATTATTGGATGTTTAAGGAAGAACAAAGCTGTATGATATTTTGTCTACAGAAGACCAAAAAAATTTTTGTGAGTGGGTAGTTTCAAATACATGTATAGTTTTTTCACTATCTAACACCAAAAGCTCTATGTTTGATAACCACACAAAAGCAGCTTTTAAATTATTATAAAATCAATTTTTTTATTTGTTTTAGGTCTCTAATTGGTGGTAAATCATGGAGATTCCACAATTGATGAAACCTACCTTCGACGAGCCGAGACAGAGAGTCTAGCATTGCAGTGAATCTCTCGATGGGTTTGTGCACTCTCCGCCACATCGGGTAGTGAATCTCCACTTCGAAACCTCCCCCTCGAGACTGCAAACATTTTCATTTGTTAATTTCCGCTAAATGCTTTCTTTAAAAATTCGTTAAACCATTTTTCTATGATTTTTTAATCCACAAAAGGTTAATTAGGTCACTCAGTGATGAATAATCCAATGCACACTTTTTATCTACCGGTATCTAGAGGCTTATTTTCTACAAGCTTTTCTGACTTTAAATGGTTTTAATGACCAATATTTCACTGGAACTGAAGATTTCTCTTCCCAAATCAAACCTTGGTTGAAAATTAATACTGTCAGCGACAGTGAAATATTGTATTGTTTGTGTATAAAGTTAGAGTAAAGTTTGTGTTCCTTGTACTAGAGTGGACTTTTTGCCATTAAGGTAGGCCTGCTGTCCTAAAGAAAATCCCAAAATATAACGTATATCAAGACTTTGTGCTCTATATATATATTACATCCTTAGGGTGCATTACCTCACCTTGGCTGCCTGAGCTACAGCTGAGGACCGAGTGTCGATGATGTAGCCTCGGTTGCTGGCTCCGATGACAGCCTTCAACAACTGTTCGTCCTCTCGACATCTCTTGGAGCTCGGCCCTGTCAACGGTTGAGAGCTGCGCATCAGCACACTCTGTGAATCAGCAACAACAAACGGTGAATCAGCACAAACATTACAGAACCAACACTACATGGTGCATGGTGTTTCTACATACCTAGGACACTAGGCTCTAGTTCGCAACTGTTTACACATTATTTCAGGCTAGGCCTAGGGCGTCACGGCGCTATCACATAGATAAAATATATAAGTGATTGGCAATATTTGATCCAAGGACCTCTGGGACTGAAGCCTCACACTCTACCACTAGACCAGCTTGCTCCCATGTGCATTTATTTGCTTGTATTCGCCTGACTTTTACCAGCAATTGTTATTTTTTACTACAAACCGTGATCAGGTCCCATAGTATTTGTGCAAAAACCTGTCTGCCTACAGTTATCACAACGTAAAACCTTCCAAATAAAAAAACAACGGGTTCAGAACCCATTTTAAACTGTAAGTCATAGTAGATTAAAAAATAATAATTTAAGTCACAGCATATTCAAATCAAATAGGTTATAAATTATTTCTGTGCTACACCAAATACAACAATGGTACAAACATAAAGCTAACTCATTGACCTACCCCTTTTTCATGTCTGTAGCTGAGAACAGGAAAACGTCCTCCTTCTCGGAACTTGGCTGCAGCAACTATCATATCGTCGTCCACACTCTTGGGTACTATCACTGCTCGGGGATATGTGGGGCACACCTTTCAAACATAAATATTAGATATTAATCATCTTGAGAAAAACAGATGATGTGTATCTCAACTAAAAATTATAAAGTTAAAATATTTTCAAAAGAATACTAACTTATTACTGAAAAAAAATAAAATTCCTAGGCTACCTGGAAGTCAGAATTGACATAGGTAAGTCGCCACTCGTCCCCTTGGAGCAGTTTGTTAAACTCCAACTCAGGACGGAACACTGTCCATCCGTCCTCCAGTACTGTGTAGTTAGGCCGAAAGAAAAATGGATAAAACTTTGTCTGGTCCTCTGAAAAAACATAGAAAAATCTATGATGGTGGCACAGAAACACAAAGCTACTAGCCTAATCAAAACTTAGCCACTTCTCTCCTAACACAACACTTAGAAACAAAGCTGCCGTCTCATCCATTTAAGACTCCTTTACTCGACTTTTTAAATACACGCCCTGTTGAGTCAGCATCATATAAATGTAAGATAGTATTAAAATAATGCTTTATTGAACTGTTTAGAAGTGACAATATAAACTAGGCTAAGAACTAAACATAAAAATGTTCAACAACATAATGCACTAACAATACACATGACAGCTTGATCTTTATTATTAACTATTAATTATTGATTTTGTTTACTTCTTTAAATAGTTGCTTCAAAAATATTCATCAATATTCTTCAACTTAGAGAGCAATCTGGTATAAGACTACCTAAGAAATAAGCAATAACTTTTAACTTATGTGTTACCAAAAGAAGACAGAGTCTCAATTGAAGTTGCAACATTGTTGAATGCTTCCAAAGGTGAGATGTCAAGCTGGATGATCCTAAAATCTTTACATTTCAAGATGACACTTCCCCCTGTGAGGCCGTTGAGTTTGCGTTCTACTGTGTCTACGTTTGTGGTTAACATCTAGAAATACAGTATTGGGAAGTATTAGATAAACAAAATAAATTATGAAAGAAAAATTCAAATCTTTTAGTCACTTTCTGCTCTTGGTCAGGGATATAGTGTTATTCACTATTAGACTAAACCGGACATCGACTCGGAAATCTCGGCTTGAGCTTCAGTAGCAATGTTGTGCCATTGAACAGCGCCATGAGAAGTGCTTGCAGACGTTTAAGTCCTCTCGAGTTACTCAGTTAACTTTTAAAATTTGTTTTATCGGAGGAAGGTTTCTTACTCCTTAAATTCCAATCTATGACTCTCTGGTTTTAATTTCCATAAAAAACTAATTCTCATGAGTAAAATGCTTTAGAAAAAGTTTATTTTGACGTATTTACCTACCATTCACTTCACACTTAAATTTCTGCTATTAACTTAGCACAAAATTACAACCGTACAAGTCTATAAAAATATGAAATGAATTAAGTAACATAAATATATTTTCAATATATTTTCAATCGGTTAAGAACTAAGCTGACAGTGACGGAGATCCTAAGCCCTAGCATTAGACAATAAAAAGAAAAGTTTTTCATCACTCTGTATTCGAAAATAGCCCATTCCCATACAGCTGAGATCCTCAAAAATCTTCAATTTCCATACACCGAAAACAAATACTGTAGCAAACTGACTTTTGCTGACATAAACATTACTTGTGCTACAGAAACAATAGGTACTTTGCCTGACATCAACAAAGTTACAATCAGCTGAATTTTACACTAAAATTAATTGAAAAGCCGTATTGTGTTTGGATTAGAAAAATGAATAGATTACGAAATATCAGATATTTTTTTAAGTTTGATCAAGCCTAGTTTTTCATCCTGATAAAAAGTATCGTTCAATACTCGTCATGAAAGTCCTGTTTCGGGGCTCAATAGTGTTTCCCATGTTTCGACTCGCATGTAAAACACTATCTTGCTCTGAAATCGCCTACTTTAGTGACTAGAAGTGAAATATACAATTACAGAATAGGCCTACTGCATCAACTATTTTCCTGACAAATTTTTATCATATGGAAGTAGGTATCCACATACAAGCCATGATGCAAATCTTTGCAATCTAACCACAACAAAATAAATATAGCAGTGACGTAGCCAGAATTTCAAAATGGGGGTGTTCTGGGTAAATTTATGAAAATATAGGCCTTAAAACGGTATTTTTTAGCTCTCCTGGCATTGAAAATAATCAAACCCAATGTCAATCCATTGTCTTAGTATGTTGAGGCCTATTTAAAAATACGTTTAAGTAAGACCAACAGTATGTTTATATAATTTCATGTTTAATTAAACACAAAAAATATAATATTTAGAACCGGAAGGGGGAGTCCAAACCTCCAGGGAACCCCCTGGCTACGTCACTGTGTATAGTGCAAAGAAAAAAATACAAACTCAGAATTGAAACTTTACTCAAAGGATCTTACCCAGAGTTCTTCATGATGTTCTGTGCGAGAAGAAAACAAAATGTGGTGCCCTGTTATACAAAGTGTTCCCTCCTGCTTCTTGCCAAATGGTCCGTGCATCGTAACATTGTCTAGGTTAGGAGTTGGAATATCTTCGACAAACTCCATAGCTAACCGCCAAACTCTTAGGCCTCAAAAGTGAATCAAAGATCTGAAAACTGTCTTGGATTCATATTCATATTCTAAACATCTGTCAGATAAAACAATAAAATAGATTTTCCGTTGGAGTAAACAAATAAATATATCATTCTGTATATTTTATTATCAACAAATAAATAGATGGAAAGTGTGATCTAAATTTGAAATTTAATAACAGTAGGTCTAACCTAGTAGTTTGTCTTGCAGGTTTTTGTGTTCAATAATAAATGGCTGGTAAAAACTGGCAGATTCCATAAATGCTCTTCTAATATTAGCAGGATATACAGATTCCACTTGTAAGATTCTTTCTCAGACCAACTAATTTTAACCTTCTGGCTGTTTTTGAAATCAATAATTGCTAAAACTAAGTGGTTTTAGTGTCTGTCACTAGCCTATTCAGTTTAATAGATTTGTTTTAGATCATAATTTAAAAATATAAACCACAAATATTTTTTTGAATTTAACTATTAACTTGCACCTAGAGTCTGGTCTACGCTGTAATCCGTAATATAGACGGATAGGCCTACCGTAGAGAAAACTTACATATAGGATAATATTAATTAGAAGGTAGGCCTAGTACTGTAATTGTTTGTACCATATTGAAAGTTTGGCAATGGTTTATAAAGTCAAGTTTTGAAAACTGAGTCATGAAATGAGAATACGAATTTTTGAACAGAAATAAAGGGCCTTTCATGTTTTTTATGTTGCTGAGAATGCTATCAATTATGCTTTAAAAGTTATGGGTTTGGTTTGGGCCAATTTTAGGGGTTGCTTACCAAGCTAAAAAAATATTGTATAATATTTCAGATTGTATCTAAGCTTAAGCTTTCCATATCTATGATAATTGTTACATTAAATTGACTTATTTTAATAATTTGATCAAATGCTTACCTAACAATAACATTAATTGTGAAGAAATAACCTAAACACACACAAAACAAAAATTCTCATAATTTCCATCGTCTGCTACGGGAGGATTAGCAGAAGCTCAAACACAGTTGTTGTTTGACAGTGTTAGCCAAGGGTTCACAAACTTTGGGTGTCAGTAAATCAAATCGCATCAATAATTCGAGTTTTGTTTCGACACTCTCCATTCCACGAAACCAATTGCTAAAGCACTCACGGCCACCGGCACCGTCAATGCATTGAATATTAAAACAAATGTTGACTTAGGTGTAAGCAAAGGTGTAAGTAATAGCACACAATAGTGTTGGTGAAAATTATTTCTATTATAGGGTTAATGTAATGATTTGTGCTTTACTGTTTGGTTACATAGGGGACGAGTTATTGTTTATGATTGGGTCGTTTTATTTTGTTAAACGAGGTTTTAAATGACTGAAATAACAAGAAACGTATAATTGTAAACAAAACACGACCTTTACAGTGCACCGGACAGAACTAACAATAAAACTGCCTTCAGCTGATCCATGAATCCAAGAATGAGAAATCTACCAAGGAAGTAGGTTTTACCATGGTTTTACCTATTAATAATCAAAGGTTTTACCATAGATAAATCATACTCCCTTAGTCATAAATCATACCCCCCTTGTGTTGCTTAGTCTATGGTTTTACCCACGAACACAATTTTTCTAGTACAGTATTCGTGGTTTTACCTATGAGTCCTATGACAGCAAACAAATATTCAATGATTATACTACTGAGGAAGATTCGATTCAATTACGGAAGAGTAATTGAATCGATGATGACGATAATTTCCTTAACCAAAAATTTCGATAAACGAAACTGGGGACTAAAGTTAGTGAAATTAAGCTACGCCTCTGGGTTCAGAAGCAACAGGGGGTTGCCGGAAGACTGTCCCCCGGAAAACTACCCCCCCAAGCAGGTCCCTACGTCATATTGACGTCAGAGACCGGGGGGCAGTTTTCCAGTCACGGACACTCAAATTTAGTTGTCAAACAGTTCTAATCTAACCTAACCTAACCAACCAAACTTGCTGTAACATTTCTAAAATCGGTTTTATATTCACCACATGCCTTTTCGATCCAACGGAATTACTCGAATTAAAATTAAAATTACATAGCATGATTTGTCTAGGGAGGGTAGTATTCCAGTCGCGGACACGGCTTCCATATTGGTTAGTTAGCAGATTTTGTGACGTCACGTTTCACCTGGGGGGGTAGTTTTCCGGGGGATAGTATTCCGCATCCCCGCAACAGGCACTACCCACGCATTACCGCAAACCACAGCACATCAAACGAGTATCTAAGTTGGGTTTGAAAAATTTTACTTAAACTTCAATTCGAGTTCCCGGGAATAATTTACAATTTTAAATATTTTTTACCAAACCAATTTTGATATATAACAAACTACGATGGTTACTAGTCAGTTTAGTACTCTATGACTCACTTAGAAAAAAATGGTATTTACTCAGGGGAGGTATAGATGAGGTTACGATGACAGCTGTGGGCTTCTCATTAGCAGAGGGAACACCAATTGCGTAACAATACGATTTTCAGCTATCGGCCTCGGTGGTCTAGTGGGTAACGTGCCGGGTTGACAACCTGAGAGTCTCGGGTTCGAATTCGCTGGTGGAACTAACTTTTTGACTAAGCTTTTTTCATTATCAGCAAGTTTGGTTGGTTTGGTTCGGTTATGACAGTTTAATTTTATTATCAAGTCATTATAAAATTTTAATTGAGCAATTTCTAGTTTTATTTGATGAACAGAATTATTATTTCTATTAATAATCTTTTTTTATATTATTTCATTTTCAGCAAGTTTGGTTAGCGGTTAGCAGCAAGTTTGGTTAGTTCGGTTAGGTTATGATAGTGATTTTATAATTAAAAAAATTTAAAATTGAATTTGAGGCATTTATAATTTATTTTATGAACAGAACTATTTTTGCAATTAGTAAACCTTCATTGCCAAAATGCTCTCTACTACAGCGCTGTTCACGGAGGAATTTTGAACTAATGCCTCAATCATACCTCCCCTAAGTCAGACCCGAAAAAAATCTAGAACCAGAACATCTCAAATTCTCAATCTGCTCTGCTCTGCTGTTCTGTCTGTTTTGCTTTTGCGTTCTGCTTTGCTTATCGTCAAAACATAACCTTATCTTACAGTGTTGAGTGTAGTAGAATTAGAATTTATTATATAGAGTATTTCTTTACTTAAACTTATATACCATTTCCTCAACTCAGTGGAGCTACTCTATCATTTAAGGTGATTATGTTTTACATTCCAATCCTAAATATTCATTTAATTTATAAGCAAAGGAAAACTATAAACTTTTAGATAAGGTTAGGAGTTGTTTTAATTCATCATCACTAACCATTTTAATGCTGTCTGCACGGTTTTAAGGCTTTAAGTTAGCATTGTTGTTACTTTTTTGTAGTTTTACACTATTAGTACGCTCCTGCAATTAATTTCGTAATGTTGTCACGCAGATAACGTTTTTTAGTTACAGTAGGTATTGTAAGTCACAATTATAATTGGGTGAACCAAAGTACTGCTCTCTGAGAATTGTAATTAATATAGGCTACATCTAAAACATTGTAATGGTAAAAATCCCCAGACCATTCGACTTAGATACGAATCCATTAGGTGCGCCTTTAACTTAATTACCAGATTATGGTACATGTATCACTAACATAAACCTATAGCGTTCATCAGGGTTTGCACTTTTGGCGAGGGAAAAATCGGGACCACCCCTCTCCCCCGGATTTACATAGGCATAAGGAACCAAAGTTGGGACGTTCCCAACCAAATGAGGACGGGTTGCAACCCTACCGTCCATTGTTATTAGGCTAATGTTGAAAGTACCGATAACAATTACTTTGCACTAACTTATTAAACTTAAACTAAGGTAACTTAGCCTGGTGATCATTTCATTCAAAACAATGAGTATCGGTAGGACAGAAGGTATTCAACAATCTGCTTTAAAAATGCTCCTCTTCTCCTATAGGCCTAGGCCTAGTGCCACTAAGTTACAGTTCGGCCAAAACTTCTGTGCGCGTGGACGGGTCGCTACTAGCCAAACTAAAACATACAAGTACCGGCTATTGGCAGTGCTGGGGGTAGGGGCAAGTGAGTAGCAAAACACAAATGTTTTCACAAAAGTACCCCCGCCAATCCCCTCGCCAGGACCCAACCAGATCTGGTCGCGCGCACAGAAACTTTGGCCGAACTGTAAAAGCTTTTTAGACATATTTTTCAAGATGTTCAGAGTTTTGGTTTAATACTGTTGGTAATGTTAAGTAGTGCTGTTCACAAGGATTCTTGTAGAAATATTCTATCATTACTACTTTTCAAAATGTCTGCAGTAATCTTTTAATTACTTACTAGAAATTACTGTATTTTATTTTATTGTTATGCTGTATTTTAGGTGCAAAATGAGTAGCCAAAAAGGAAATGCTGCAAGAACTAGACCTCAGAAATACCAGAACAGTAGAGTTTTTAAAAACAATTTGCATGACAAAAGCAAAAAAACTAAAATCATTAACAGTACACAAGTAGTAAATTCTTGTGATAGATGTAAATCTATAATTGAATGGAAGATTAAGTACAAGAAATACAAACAGCTGAAAAGTGCAAAGACATGTGTCAAATGTTCAAATAAAACCGTGAAACAGTCTTATCATACCATTTGTGGCTCTTGTGTGCAGAAACTGAAAGTTTGTGCAAAATGTGGAACAACTGATTTTAAAAACTTAACCTCAACTTCTGATAAAACACTTGATGAAGAAACTTTGCGAGCTGAAGCATCTGAGGAAAGTTGTAATGAAACTGGTGAGTTATTGTGAATTTTATATTTCTTTATCATTAATTATTTATTATAGATTACTTGCAGAACTCTCTCATACTGAAGACGGTCTTTTATCAAAGAAGTATCTGGTTTGATTCTGAGTAAACAGATTGAACTAGACCCAGCTGTTCTAGATCAATGGACTTTTAATAAATGATCCTGACTAGACAACCAGCTGATCTTAGTTACTAAAGCCGGGTTTTCCTAGACGCTGAAGAGGAGCGCGGAGAGCGGAAAAGCGATTAACATGGCGTTCCGCTCTGTTTCTAGGAAAACAGTAACATTAAATACCTAAGACAAGAAAAGTCCGCTCTCCGCGTTCCTCTCTCCGCGCTCTGCGCCTAGGAAAACCCAGCTTAACAGAGCTGTGGTCTTAAAATCCATTCAACACTCTTTGTATTAAAATGCACACCTGGTTTTGTTGGCTTTGTAAAAAAATCTCATCTAATCCTTTTCAATACCCTCTCCAATTTGATGTTCATTTGGAAGTGGGTCATTTGACCCAAAATTAATAATCCATTGATTCCTCAAAAGACTAAAGACGAACAAGATACTGCACATTAATCTTTTATATTTCAATTTCCCAGTCTTGACAAGAATGTTTAAGCAACAGCTAATATTTGGAAAACACTGTGTACAGTACAACAAGTGACTAGGCCAAGTTTTTGTGTATATTATACCAGTGATGTAGAACTTTTGTTTCAATGTTGGACACAACAGGTTGGTCACTCCAACCACATTAAGGCACCAATCGATGCTCAGACCTTGGTATTGATAGCACACTAGGACTCTAATGAATTACCTGAAACCCATCCCCTTCACCTCCACAGTCACTTGCACCAAAATCACAGAGGCCACTCAGAAACGGCTGCAGTCGTTAATTAGTAATTTTGAATTGCATACATATCAGCATAGATAAACATACTCCCTTAGTAGATTTCTCATCCTTTGGAACAGCTGAAGCCAATGTTATTGTTAGTTCTGTCCGGTCCACTGTAGAGGTTGTGTTTCGTTTAAAAATTTTTTCTTGTTATTTCAGTCATTTATAACCTTGTTTAGCCAAATAATTGGTTTTATCACAAAAAATTACTCATCTCCTAGCTATATATAACCAAACAATCAAATCATGAAATTAACCCTAAAATAATACAAACAAAATTTCGTCGACACTATAGCGATCAGTGACATGAACTAAAATAGACATGAACTAGAATAGACATGAACTCAAACCGAAAAACGAGCATCAAAATTTACAATGGGCTGAGAAGTCTACTTGTGTTGATTACTTTAGTCTATTATCTCAGCCATGTAGGAACGTTTTTGTACATCCAAAACAAACCTGCTAACAATAAAACTCAATACACCTTCAACCAATCCATCAAGGTCATTATTCCATAGTGATAGGCTACACTAAAATTTTTGTTAATGTTTTTACTTTTAAACTGAAAGGTACATACAATGAATTTATTTTTCAGACAGTGAAGATGATGGCGATGAAGATGATAATGATACGTGATATTGAGAGTAAGTTGAATTCCTTTAAGTGTTTATTTTAAAATAAAATGTATTTTTTATTTTCAATATATTTTATTGCCTGTATTTACCTTACTGATTTCTAGGATTCCATTTCCTTCGCTAGAGATATACCGTAACGTAAAAACAAATTAATTGAAAATGAAGTAAGAAATATTTAAAACAGTCAACAGGGAAATCCCAGAGCCTATACTATAACTTTATGCCTACATGCGGTTTCTGTGATTGCGTAAATGTCAAAGAATATTCACAGTCCAAGGTCTTGTATTATCATATTTGTTGGGTAATCGAGGCTAATAGATGCACAAATTTCTGGGAGGACTGAGGAAACAACCCTGTATTTGACAGCATATACAAATTTATGTCGTACTAAGTTATAAATCAAAACTTCTCTGTATTTATTGATTTGATGTTTAATGTCATTGGCATTTGAAACAATTGAGTTTGAGTTTTGAGTTTTTGAACAATTGAGGCAAATTTGAAAGCAAGTACCCAAAGTGTACCAGTCTTTCCTCCCCCTGAGTACTGTACCTTCCAGTCAACTCAATATTAAGCCCGGTTTACACGCTACGATAAAACGTAACGATTTGACTACGACAAAACGTTCATGCAAGACGGAACGTGTAAACTGGAAGTCGTTACGTTTTGTCTGAGTTGGAGTGAGGTTGGAAGGTTGGTGGAAATTTCCACCAATTTCTGTAAATCGTAGCAACTTTCTGTAGATCGTAGCCACAAGTCGTTGCGTATAAACGGTGACTCAGTCATCGTTGCAACCTGTAGACCCTCACTTGCCGATTTCGCAACATTTGTTGTGGTCCAGTTTACTGTACTTTATGTTGTGTCTACTATTAATTGTATATTTTGACTGTTGTAGTGTAGTTTTAGCAGTGTTGTTTTACTGTGTTGTACTGTATCAGTGTAACATTTATTTGTCACTTGAAATGTCAGACATCCGTCAAGCCTCTCCTGATTTTCTCAAAGACTTTATTGAACTGTACAAGAGTTTCCCTTGCTTATGACAAGTAAAAAAAAGAGACTATTCTGACAGGAATAGGAAAGAACTTTTCCTCTTGAAACTTTTGCAACACACATAACGTAAACAGACCACAACAGTAACTCATCCATCGTCAAATATACAGGTAGCCTATATTAACTACTTCACAACAAGAGACATCAAACGGTAGTGGTTTGAGCCAAAGTTGGAGGAAAAGACGGAACGTGTTAATGGCCCGTTCAACCTCCGTCAAAACATAGCAATTAGTCGTTGCAGACAAGCCGTTATGTTTTATCGTAGCATGTAAACCCGCCTTTATTGGCTTAACTTGAAGTCTTAATTGATATCGTGGCAGTTTTGTAATGGAGACTTTTTACCCAGCACGGGCAATGGCGTTACTGGTAGTTATCATGTTGTTTCTGCAGTGAACAATACAGTATTGAGATAATTGACATATAATAAAGTAATTATATGCTACTTTTATTATTTTTAGAACATATATGTGTTAGGCCTATATAAAAAAAAATATATTTATTAAAAGTGAGAGAGACTTTGTTTGGAAACATTTCACCCTGTGTAAACTGTGGGGACCAAAATCATTCAATTTGAACATTTAACCGATTATGAACACGACTTACTGAGTTTATTTATGAATATTTGTTTGTATTGCAATAGCTAGTTACACTAATCAATATTCTATACATCCTTTTAAAAAACAACAGTTCCTTGAATAGACAGAAAACTATATTGAGACTTAAAAACGCAGATAAAGCTGGCTTTAGGACTATTACAATGATAACCAACGCAAAAAAATTATCTTTAAATAACACTAGATGTGATTTCTGTCTGGAAAACTTATACAAAAAACTACCTAGTGTGGTGGTAACTATGGTAAAAGCATATGCAAGGACCATATTAAAGTAAATACTTGTATTGACTGTTTTAATGTCTCAACGCTACTTATTTATTGAGATAATAGAGTGGATTTAAGTTTAATACAAAATTGACATGAAGGTTTTTAATTTGTTCAGAATAAATTGCTTTTTACCAAGTCCAAATAATATGGGGTAAATATTTATCTCGTATGATCCCTCACGTTATGGTGATATAGTCCTTGCCACCCTAACTTGAGGCAGCCTAAGGCTGCACTAGATATACGGTGTGCGGCCTTGGGCTGCCACAAGTTAAGGTGGCGAGGACTATAGGCACGGGCACTCTAGGGTTAAGGAAACAGTCCAAACCCAGGTCTTGTTACTATCTAACGTTGACCTTCTGTTAGTTAGCATCATTAACTGATTGCCCAATGACAAATGAGAAGACTTTATGAACGTAATAACGAAGAGGGTATACACTTTAAAATATTTGCTACGAATCTGTTTTGCGATTTTTTTTGTAGTAGCCGATACTATAATAAAGTCTTTCACCTATTGACCTTTGAGTGAAAACAAACTGCAGCTTACCCATATTGATGAGATGTCTATTTACGTTATTTTGTAAGCTATTACGTAGGCTATCCTGAATAACCTAAAACACAAAACTATGCACAGTACTTGTCCTGTAATTGCTTCTGTTTTCTTAAGAGAAAAAATCAGTGCAAGGTTGTTTTGACATAAGGAAATAATATATTAATAATTTATGGACCCTAACTATTCACAATAATTTTAGTATGTCTATAGGTAGGTAATTCAGAAATATCATGCTTTAAGAAGTTCTTTTATTAAATAAATAAATAATTTACAATAAATAAATCTACTCTAATACATAAGTTATTTAAATTAATCACAGTTTTGTAGAATATAGTTATGACACAAAACACGAAAAAAGATAAGTTGTACTCGCACACTCTTGTCAAATCATATTGCACTGGGCTTTTCTATTCCACGATTTTAGTAGAGGCGTGCAAAAATCCTTCGATTTGCTACAAGTATTTTACATTAATGTGTAACAATTCTTGATATTTATTTAGTTGCTTATTAATTGTAAGGAGGAATACCTTTTACAAAAAAATATTTATCCTCCTTTTTCACTTTACAAATTTTGTTAAGACCATTAGTATCTTCAAATACTTAAGATGGCTATGCCATACTTGAGGTGGAAAATTTTTAAATCGTTAAGTTAGTAACACATAACATTTGGATGTTAAACTCTCTTATAAAATAAATTGCTTGGCTTATCTGGCAAAGTATGTTAGATCTTTAGAGACTTTAAACTCAAAGTGTTAATCCTTCTAAAACCTTTTCCCAAGAAAATCATTATTGGGCTCCTTGTGGTCAACAAAAGGAATTAGAAGCACAGAAGAGAATTTTGTACTTAAATAGCCTAATGTTCATAGTTTGATGTTTTACAATAGCTTCTAATATTATGTCTAAATAACTACATTCAGTGCTTGTCAATGCTTATTAAGACTTGCCAGTAATATTCCGTTACTTTGTAAAGTTAGTAATAATTTAAAACTAAATTTTCAAGAGCATATGGCCTCTTGTGGATTCATTATTTTAAAGATTATGTTCTCGAAGGTTAGTCGCACAGCACTACAGATGAAGATGTGGAGTTAGAGAATATCGTCTAGATTGAATGACCTCTCGGCTTCCAGCAGTTCGAGAGCTGCCGCTGCTGTTGCGTCGTCGTCTTCCAAATTCTTCCTCTTCTTGTTCTTGAGTGACCTGTGAAAACAATTGGGTTGTAAATTTATTCTCAACTAGCTTTGTACCCGTTCTACGCACGGGGATTTTATAATATTCAGTTGAAACCTTCTTATATAAAGAACAGCAGTTGGTTTGCATATTTTAAGATATGCTGGCCAAACTATTATACATAGCTTCATTTTATGTTGTTTTTTGTTGTTCCGGATCGGTATGACAATCAATAAAAGGTTAAATTACCTCTGTGTCTGCCGGTCGATCCTATAACGGTAGGCTTACTTTTATTTTTACTATCTGATCTCGTTTGCATGGCTCAATCACGTCCTGGTTGAAGTTCGTTCGCTACGCTCACTCACCTGTATGTTGGAGCTCGTTCGCTGCGCTCACTTTCCTTCAGGTTAGCTCGTTCGCTACGCTCACTTGCCTTCAGGTTAGCTCGTTCGCTACGCTCACTCGCCTCCAGGTTGCAAATTAGCTGTTGTCATAAATGTAAAAGAAATAATAGTGCTAGTGCTGCACCCTGTTGGTAATCCTTGTAACTTTAATGCTATTGAACATCACAGAACAGAACCAACTTGTTTAATTGAAACAGCTGTTAAGATTCAATAATTTCATTTCTCATAAGGTTAACATGGGCTTCCAGAAATTCCACGTCAAAAATCGACAAAAACTTGATTTTCAAGGGTTTACTGTTAAATATCTAACTGTCTCATATTCGATGAAATACGTCTAAAACCATCTCATATATGTATAGTATTTGGAAAATAAGTTTCAGGCGGGACAGTGCTATAGTTATTGAGGAGTAGTTGTAATAAAGTGCGTATTTTAGCGTTACCAAGAGAATGACAGATAGACAGACAGACAGACAGACAGACAGAAATTGAGATAAGGTTTGATTCGGTTTCTCTGACCTATGAAATGTAAAAATAACCAAAAAGTTCATTATTCTAAGCAATGTACAGACAAAACTCTAATTTTATTTATATAGATATAGTAAAGTTCTATACAATATCAGTGTGTGTAATGCTACCAGATTACCCAATCTTTTCAAAAAGTTCCCGTTATTTCAGTTGCATCAATGGTGTCCTCATAAAGCCCACAGAAATTTTATAATGTATTGCTGATTTTAAACATTTTTTTAAGGGGTCTTCATCTTATACTTAGGAAGGAATAAATTGTCTGAACCAAGAGATATTTTTACGTTAATCTGTGTAAAGTTTTTTCACTCGACTATGACCTGTGTTGTGTAAAGTCAACAAACCCATGTCTTTTGTCCGCTGAAAAAAGTGTTTTGTGTATTTTTTTCTTTTTTTTTTTAAATAGAGGTTGGCGGCCTCTTTTAACCTTGCATTTGCCCGTCCACATAGACTACAGATCTGTGCGTGGAACGTATCCAACAAAGCAAGGGGTGAGCCGGTACAGTACAAAGGTGAACTGTACTGATAAAAGTTTGTGGCAGTGACCAGGATCCGAACCCACGACACTGCCGCCTTGGGCTCGAAGTCCGCGACGCTACCAACTGAGCCACCGACTCACCCAACTGATTATGTAATTTGCTGGTATAAAATGGTCCTCTTCAAAACCTATCAACAATTGGTCGTATAACCAATGTTCGATATCTCACCTCATTTCACCGCCAGGTAGATTGTCTTCTCCGATGTCCTCGCCTGGGTTGTATTTGTCTCTTACATCCTTCATGATGCAAGCCTCCAATTTCTTGTGCTGTAAATATTGAGATAAAAATCACCAAAAGCATAATTTTTAATTGATTACCTTGGTATTCAAACCATTCCAATAAAAACTGTTGGATGTTGGAACCATATGGATACTTGGTGTTTTCTAAGCTTTGAGTTTCTAGATATATTTGTTGTGTTGAAGATGAAGAGAGAGATGAAGAAAGTGTGCTTAAGTGTAATAGTAGTTTTTAAATTTGCTCATTGATATGAAAGCAGAAATAAGTTCAAAACCCATCAAAACTAAACTTTTAAATAAGTAAGCTAGAGGATTTAACTGTAGATTTACACCCACCTTATAACAACGGAAGAAGAATATTGGTCGGACCATTTCTCTCGCGAGTTTGTCCTTCCTCTCGTCTGGGACACATTGCTACAGAAAAACAACATCCTTAGTAATTTAAATCAAATATTTCATATAACTATTTAAAAAATACACTCGCCTAATTTTTTGTTTTTAATGACTATCCATTTTATTTGCATGTTAGAAGTAATAGTAACTTACTAGAAGGACCAAAAGTACTTCAGTCGCAAGTCAAACGGTTAATAAATTTGCTTTCCTGATCTTTTTTTCTATTTTTAAGGGTTAAAAATAAATAAATACTTTATTGTCTTGATAATATAAATTGTATCGACAGTACAATTAAGTTTAGTATTAAATAAAACTCTTTAAATTTTGATGAATTTTTCATTGAAGTCTTCCATAGAGTAGATTGGATTTTCAGTAAGGATCCAAAAATGTATTAGTTAATTTTTAATTTGATGTCACAGTTCTTAGACCAGTAAGGGATAAAGGGGTAAAGGTACAAATGCTGATTATTTAAGTTGTTCTAACTAACTTGCTTTAAAAAAACTGAGATATAAATATTGTTTACACAAATCGAGGCCCTAACAATGAACGACTTACTAGCTAAAGAAATAACATATTTGCGTATGTTGGTCCCATATTTAAATCTGTTGCACAACTAAACAAATCATATATTGTTAGGGATTCAGGATGTCTTAACTCACTGCAAACTGTCTACAGAAGTTTACACCGTCCGTCATGTCTCGTTTGAGGTCCTCGGCTATGGGGAGTCGGCTGATCCTGTCAATCATCTTGTCATAGGCTGGCTCTAGGTTCTCATCCAGCTGGGTAACATACATGTTTTAGAAACCAGCACTAACTAACCAAATGTGTACACCAGTGGCGATGAATGGTGGAATTACAAACGCTTTTGAAGGAAAACGGTCCATATTTAAATGTTTCTTTCTCTTTCTGTTAGTGGCTATTCCAACGGCATTTAAAATAGATGAATTATAAACGTTCAAGGGAAAGTGGTCTTTAGTTTACACCATACTGAAACAAAACCAGCCGTATTTAATGCATGTGTTGCGGGTCTAAAGTAGCATTTTTATCCAAGGAGTAAAAATCAGCTTTTGTAAACAGTTGTAAATTTCGATTGTGGCAATCGTATCAATCAAAATTATTTATCGATTGATTTATTAGGTAAGGTTGTCTAATAAGGTAAGGCCTACTTTGTCGATTGCTTTACATATCGATGGTATGATAAGACAATCGTAATAGACTAAATAATTGAATCACTTACTGAACAACTGCTTATTTGCATTAGCAGAATTGAAAACAAGCTGGTCGTTTTGAGGTGGTTATCTTTACATACAAATTATTCGTTTTCTAGCTTTGTTTTCTTTTATGATGCAATATGACAAAAAAAATTGTTCACCACACAGGCAAAAAGTGACTTTTAAACCCTCGCTCATAAAAAAAAAAAAAACTTAAAAATTGGCCTTGGTCAAATACTCGGCCCTAGTGATGAAATATGCTATTTCTGGGTGATATTTCCTGAAAACCTGGACGTATGACAACCCTACACCTAACTCATGTTTAAGTTGTCCAAACCTAAATTGTACGAAATACTCACATAACCCAACTCCTGCATGACACAAGTGACATTTCGCACTTTGCCTGTCATCTTGGCAGCCAGACTGTCCAACTGGCCTCGGATGTCAAAGTCTCTCTGCAAAAACAACACATTTTACTAATTTGTATTGGGTATCTTTACTACTTATACAGTATTTTATACTTTACACATCCAATATTTCACAGACCTTGGCAGTATATAATAGCGTTGCACAATTGAGCAATATTTCCAAGTTTTCTACAGTTTTTTCCTTGTAAACATGGAAGTTTTGTTTAAGAAGAAATACTTGTTTTAAACTGCAAGTTCACAAAAAAATTTTTTACGCTGGCTTTCTAAGAGTATTCTGTTTAAGTCATACTTATTCTTTTTAAGTGTGCCTGAACAATGCTTTCCTCAATAATATCCATATTACTTCATGCAATGGTAATTGGTTGAATACTTACAGAAGTGCGTTGTCCTCTGTAGTACGGAGGGTAGAACGGAGAGTGGTAGTATGGTGCAGGTGGTGGGTAGTATCCACCAGGTGGAGGGTAGTAAGGGTTGTAGGCTGGGGGTTGATAAACAGAGTTTGTCAGTCCTGCGTGTAGGTAGGGGTTATGGTTTGGCGTGAACTGACTCTGCTGGGACGGCTGCGGTTGTTGTTGATATGTCGTGTGCTGTAAGAAAAAACTCAGTAAGAATATTTTAAATTTAGTTAATTTTTTTACAGCATAAACCAGTTTATGAAAAAAAACATAACAAAACAAAAAAAGGAGGTAGACACTTGTTACATGTTTGAAAAAAATACGATGTACTGTATGTATATATTTAATGGGAAATAAAATGTTATTTCATTTCATGTCCGGTAAACACTTACCTACTTTCCGGACAAGTAACGTATAATTTACTATTTCCTACCACTGGAATGGAAATTATCACATTGCCATACATGTGAAATGTAATAAAACAAGTTATTGAGCAGTAAGCAAAATAGCTCATTTTCGCTATTCATTCCCACTTGCTAAATTTCACCGGTGCATTGCTACATCCAGTAAGCAAATAACATAACCTTAGAAAAGAACAAACATAACCTTTTGAAATTTTTTATCTATCTATACTATTATAAAAAACAGGTGGTTGCTGTATGTGTGTATGTGTGTATGGGAAAAGTAAACTCGAAAAATACTGGTCGGATTGGGCTGAAATTTGGCATGATGATAGCTCACATTCCCGATTAACATATAGGCATATTCTTATTTCAAAAATCCTTTCGGGCTCCGCCCCAGTGGCTCTGGAGTTTCCCATGTTAACCTTATGAGAAATGGAATTATTGAATCTTAACAGCTGTTTCAATTAAACAAGTTGGTTCTGTTCTATGATGTTCAATAGCATTAAAGTTACAAGGATTACCAACAGGGTGCAGCACTATTATTTCTTTTACATTTATGACAACAGCTAATTTGCAACCAAAAGGTGAGTGAGCGTAGCGAACGAACTTCAACCTGGAGGCGAGTTAGCGTAGCGAACGAGCTAACCTGAAGGCAAGTGAGCGCAGCGAACGAGCTCCAACCTAAAGGTGAGTGAGCGTAGCGAACGAGCTCCAACCTAAAGGTGAGTGAGCGTAGCGAACAAACTTCAACCAGGACGTGATTGAGCCATGCGAACGAGATAATCTTGAAAATTAAGAAGTTAAACGGGGCAAAGCCCGCGGGTTACAGCTAGTATACAAATAAAATGCTAATCTGTGTTGTTATAAGTTAACTATGATGGTAGAACAAATCTTGCTCTAATAGTCATTTCTGCTCTCAAAATGTATGGCTTCATCCAGCCAAAGCTTTGTGCATCTACAGTTTTCGAGCAGCAATAGCAACTTTGCGCTCTTAATACACAAATAGCTATTGCTTGAATAAACAATGGCCTACAATGATATTTTAAAATATACCCCAGGTAATAGTCAAATTGCCCTCTACTGGATGCAAAGTTTATTTACTAAACGCGAAGACCAAATGCTATAACTACTGTATTTTTGATAAATGGATTGTTAAAGCATTAGAAACAAGATGAGACCTGTGCGTGCTTGTTGTATCCTGACATGATGACTTGTTGAAGCTTGTTGAGGTCGAAGCCAGGGGTGGCACTCTCAGAGGCGGGGGGTGGGGCTGGTGTAGCGGGGGGCTTGGTAGCACTCAGCGCTATGTTGTGAACCTGCAATATTATCAAGATTTCATAAACAACTAGACTGTATCTTGTTGTAAAATGAGATTGTATGAATGACCATCCAAATAATTTACTAAAGATTCTAAGAGTATGTTTTATGTAACCAGTTTTCCAATTCTCATCTTGCAGTGATTACGGTATTAGGAGTTGTTAGACAATGATCTTCCGGAACATTTTGCTCGCATGCAAGGAAAACTTGCATCCATACAATATTGGTTTTAAGTTTTAATATTTTGCAACTCTGTACTCTATTTTACGTTTTATGATATTTATACTATTTATTAGTTTGTCAGAGTAGTACTGTATTGTGATTTATTTTTTGTGTCATGAGGGTGTCTGAGTTTTGCCCTTTTTTCAAAGGAGAACTGTCTAAGCAGGTCGTTCTACTATCTGACATAGATCTTTGTTAAAAAACATTAGGCTAGCTACTTTTTTGTATATTTACCGTCTTGTGATTAACAGTATAAGTGTAAATATATGTTTTAAGTGTTACAAGACGTTTCTTTTATTTACATTCCGTAAATTTAATAACACGTACAATGCTGATCAAGAAGTTATTTAAATTATAAGAACCAACCTTTAGAATTGAGAGCAAAAAACTTTGATCATGAATAGTTTAGTTTGTATAGAGCAAACAGATAATAGTATGTATGATTTGTATTGTACATTCATCTTTACCAACTTTTCTACTAGTTGCCCCTTTTACCTGAGAGTTTCCGGGTTGAGTCTTAACCAGGTTGTGGTGCTGCGGAGGATCGAAGTGTTGTATTTTCAGAGGAGTCGTTGAGAGTCCAGTGCACTTTGCCGTAGCGACCTTCATCTCCTTACGAACCTCCTTCACCACATCCGGGCCGAAGCAGCTTTCGTAAACCTGTTGACAGAAAAAATATGTTGTAAAATTAGTCAACATTTATTGCCATTAAACTTGAAATTGTTTTTTAAAATTACTGAACGGATTGGGTTGCAATCGCAATTGCGACTGAAATCAAAACATTATGCTCCGTGAAGCATGCAAAATACTCTTTAACACGTTCGCTACTGAGCGGCGCATGTATGCGACGCCGCGGTCATTGCCACAGACCGAGGTATACTTTTGAATTTTACACATAGACCGGCTGTCACTTGGTTAACAGTACACACAGACCACGGGCGAAAACCTGTAAAACAGTGATAGTTTACATTGTAATACGCTACAATCGTTTTTGTAAATAATTTATTATTGTTTTTTTGAATTTTTATAACCTTTTGTAATGTTGCATATTTGCGACGCCCGGTCTACAGCGAGGACAATAGTGAAAATTATCATAGTTTTCTTGAAATAGACCGAACGTCGCATATATGCGACAGTTCATTTTTGTTTGTGTTTTGAGGTGAAAGTAAGTAAAAAAAAAACAAAAAGAACAGTTTATAACTGAACAAATATAAAAGCTACATAGGATAATGCAGCATACATACTGCATACATACATACAGTCATGCAGAAAAGTAAAGACCAGTTTTTCCAACTATCATATGATGTCACCAATCATCATATCCACAGACCAAGCGACGCAGTGGTGCGTCAGACATCTCTGTAGACCACTGCAGGGAATTCAGTGCCTTCAAATAGACCATTACAAAGATATAAGCATTTTAATAACATTAGAACCCCGACAAAAATATGCGTCGGCAGTCTATTTAAATGTGACTAGCCGTCGCATATATGCGACGGCAGTCTATGGGTGGAAAACGGCCGTCGCAAATGTGCGTCGCTGGTCCATGTGAATTCAAAATTTCGTACTATTGCAGTAGCGAACGTGTTAACCTCATCAAATACATTTAGAAAGTGTAAATAAGTTTGTTTCGTATATTATCTTGTTGTACTGCAAATTCTCTAGATTCTAACCCATAAAGAGAAGCTGCTAAGGTTTGAATCATTTTAAATTATTAGTGTGGAACAAGTGAGTTATGAAAATAGGTGAATAACCTTTAACTCAGGTATGTTAACACGGCCATATGCAGACATTCTGTTTTTACTAGGATTTAATTTTTGCATCTTATACCTATTACTACATAAGTAAATCTTTAATGAAACCTTAAACTTTCAGTGGATTTTGAAAATGCACAACATCATATGAGAACTCATTTGGAACTTATTTGAAGTGTTCAGATACATTAGAGGAAGATTTTCCATACAAATTAAAAACCAAGTTACATGGAAAAAGACTAGATTTATATAACCATTAAACCCAAAATCGGTTTACCGTTTACAGTATTCAAGACTTAGAAGTCAACGTAATCGTAAAATAATACAAAACCCTAAAATAAATATAAGAAAAATTGGATTAGGCTATAAATAAAAACTATTTTATTTTTGCGTTCGTAATTGTACTGACCAAAGAAACGATTCTATAATTGTACTACAAACTATGTAGTACTACTAGTACTAAAAAATTCTAGACAGAATGAGCAAAAATATTAGGTGGACTTAACAAACCAGCCTTTCTCCCGGTCTCTTGAAAAATAATCCAAGGCTTGGTGCCACTAGGTCTCAAATTAGCTAACATATTTAAAGATGCATTTGTAGTCATTCGTTTTCATTTGTATTTAAAGTTCTTGTTACAAAGTAAATTTTCTTTCATCAACCCTCTATTGAGAATTGGTATTTTGTTAATATAATGAGTACCGTATTGTAAGTAAATGACCATTAATATAAAAATAGTCCTCAATTTAACAGACATTTATTTAACCAAAAGGGAGTGTCATCCCTGATATTTTAAGATTTATAGGTGTAAAATTCTTTTTGATCTTTTTCTGCCTTACTTCCTCTTTAAATTCTAACTCCAACTCTTCAAAAACAATTTCCTTGATTTTTGAACTGCTTAAACCTACATCCTGCTTGTTTTCACTTGTTGCAATGATATTGTTAATTTGATTTAGATTGGCCTTAATTTTTTGTATCCAACATTCAAATTTTAACATTTCGCCAGCAACTTTGGTTTTTATGTTAAAAATATTTTTTAGTTTTAACTCAAGAACAGAGTTTTGTTCCTTTCTCAACATTCTGATTGCCTCCTCTAAGAAAAGATTGTCCCATTGTTGATTGTCCAACTCCATTTGTTGTGAAATCAGCATTTGCTGTGTTTCCTTAAGTTTCTTCCTATCAGTACGGGAGTTGGCTAATTCATTACTCATATCTTTAATCTTCTCATTATTACTTTCTAACTCTGAGTTAATTTTTTCAGCAACCTCTTTGTGCATTTTCAGTGTACACTGTGTTTTTGTGAGATTATCTTTCTCTGATTTCAACTTCTTGTGCATACTGTCTAGAACGTTCATGTTTTGCTGTTGAAGTTTTTCATAATAGTGTTGAAGACTTATGTTCAATTTCTCATTTTCATTCAACAACTCGTTTATTTGTTTAGTTTTGTACTGGTTTAGTTTCTCAATCTCTTGCATGTATATCTTTTTGAGTTTTGAGCCAACTTCTGAAAATTGCTTTTCATGGCGTGTTGTCTGCAGTTTACAATTATTATCGTTATTGTTGAGTAGCAATGATTTTTCTCTCTCCAACTCTTGCTTTAGTCCAGTAGACCTACATATAGCATCTCTATGTTGTTCTGATATCTTTTCCTTCAATTCTCTAATGTCTTTTTGTACATTTACTCTGCAAGCCTCTGAATCTTCCTGCAGGATCTGAAGACTATTGTCAACCGTTGTCATGAACATCAAGATCTCTTCACATTTTTCACTCCTCACATTCCTTAGTTGTTTTTGTTGCTCTAATGCACCAAATATGATCATCTCTTGCATTTTCCCTAGATCCCTTTCCTTTTCTCTTCTGTTTGCTTTAGCATTGGTCAATTGTTCCAATGACAACTCTACCATTGTCTGTAGTTTGTTTCGTTCCAACTCCAGACTTCGACTTTCCACTTCTGTTTTCAACATTTCCTGATGAACTTTTTCACAAAATGTGCGTAACTGTTTCAAATTCAGTGTTGTTGTGTCTATACTGTCAACTACGTATGCAATGGATTTTTTATCTTTAGATTTTTTTGTCTTTGCCTTTTTCATGATCCCTGTGTTTTGATGACTAACTGTATACAAATTTTATTTTTTGGAAGTTTAAAACTGAAGCAGTACTACTTGACTAACTATTTACAAACACTTAAATGTAATTGTAAACTGTAGCTGGTTCTAAACTTCCTAATAGATTGATCAGATGTAAATTATGCAACATATGTTTTTTATTGACTGGTTGACGGATAGGGAATACAGTAAAATCTTATATGCATGTAATATTATCAAAGTATATTACACTATAACAGGTTTTATGTTAAACATTTATCTATGGTTTTAATGTTTGATAAGAAACACTTTAATATGAAGAATTAAGCAGTTCAGTATGTTATAGAATAGACAAATAGAATGAATATAGACCGGCAGCAGTGCTGCGGTTCGCATATGTTCCGGCGCCCACCGCCAAGAGTGCCGTGTAGTTACGGCGCACACGCTGCAGCGTCTGCTGGTAGCATACGGCTCCAGCGCTCCTTGCCTGCAGCGGTGTGCGCCGTAACTACACGGCACTCCTAGCGGTGGGCACTGGAAGCTTCCTTTGACAGTCTATATTTATTCTATTTGTCTATGGTTGTAGCAACCCTTAGAACACAATTATAATTAATAGTTTTCTAAAAATCTTACTATCTTTACTCCTTGTTAAAAAGTTAACAAACATCATACTGAAGACAGTCCAATTTTGGTGCAGTTTTTTTGTAAACATAAGAATTGACCCAAAGCAAGATGTCCTAAATTTGTGTATGTTTAAAATCCCAAAATCAACTTTAAACTTAAAACACCTTAAAATACTCAACCATGTGTTTTCAAAGCAACATTTTTATAGCTCATCGCCCTTGCAGGATAATGAAAATTGTATATTACTGTACCTTCATCATAGCGTATTTTTTAATGAACTTCTCATCACTGGAGAAAGAAAAAACTGATGTGCAGTAGGTGACCACTAACAGCAGCACTGTAGGCTTCATCTTCTGTCAGTCTTAGTCTGTAAAAGGGAAACAGGAGTCGTGAATGACAGCTTGTAAAAAATCACTTATAAAATAATTTACCATTATTAATATCTTTATTAATCACGGGTGACTCTGGTACCTTGTGGACGTGGTAAAATGTAAAATTTTAGGAAGCATATTGTGAAAGGAAGTATAATCCGTCAGCAGAAGTATCGATAATAACCATTTAAATCTGTAGAAAAGAAGCTGTTTCGATATGTTATTTGCTATCCAGTTGTGTTAAAGGGAGATGAATCAAACAATCATAAAATAGTTGTTGTAGATAACTTATCATTACTATTGTCTGGGTAGCCAAGTTATAGTGTTCACCTTCAAATCTGAAGGTCGCTGGTTTGATTCCAAGCAAGATAGTTTCTGGACCAAGCAAGATGACATTTGTCACTGGGCTATCAGTTATTGATGCTATTTAAGAAAAGGTGGTGTTGGATAGTGACTTAACAAGATTAGCATGTGAAAAAACATTAATGGACAAACACTTATAGATTGCAAACACAAATTAATAAAAAAATCTAATAATTTGGTTATATTCTTCTTATATATAAAGATAACAAGGGTCTGAACTTTTGAGAAAACCAAAAGCCACATAAATAAAATCTCTCCTAAGAGCAGGAACATCAATTAAAGGGCTTATTATATCCTTTTAAAGATACATCAGCTGTTATATTTGTTTTTGTTTGTTTGTTTACTTTTCCTTGTGTTAACCTTTTGATTCTACCAAAAATGTGTATATTGCATCAAGAGAAGTGACAGTAAGTTTTTCTTATAATGTGGATGGTGTTCAATCCTTTTAATCATGATTCAATTGTTTACTTAATAGTTCAGTTATATTTTTAAAACACAACAATTGATGTTGCAGACAAATATTGTGTATATAATTAACTGACTCAAGGACCATAGTTTGGACAGAGCCTTATGTTTTCCAACTGGGAAAAACGCATCCGCAGTGAATTTTTTCTTGTGACATGGACATTGATAAAATTAATTTACATCAAAAACTTAATCAACCAAGTTTGCATTGGACAAGGCGGTAAAGAATCACCATTTCTTCTTCAAGTTGGCTCCCCTTGGCGAGGCACAAGCAGAACAAATAGAATGAAAGCTGTCAACACTCCTTGTGACAGGTATGATATACGATATTGTATCAGTGTTAAGATGTATTTACATTCATAATTTATTTATGTATTTTAATCTTTGACCAAAACTGGACCACAAGTCATTTTAATAGGAAGAGTTTTTCTTTCTTGTATCTTCTGTTCTAATTTTACCTACATGTTAAAAGAACTCCAAAATATCTGTACTTTATTGATTATTTATGCTAACTAGGCATAAAGGTTTCTATAGGCTTATGTGGTTAAAGCGTTAGAGCCAAACTTTTATAAGATGAAGAATAGTTCTACTTTCATCAAACGTTTATAACTTAACTTAGGTATTAAAAATTTTTCAAAAATCTATAATAATTTTTCAATGGTATACTTTGAGTCAATAAGTTTTGAATTTGGGCTAAATTATAATAAATTTGCATATTGAATTAGTTGTATAAACAATGAAACAATGCTTTCGAATGCAATATAAATACGATTTTTATCAAAAATACGACCTGCATTTCCCGGTGAGTGATTTAGATACACGGATTCAAAGCAGGCTGCATACGCCTGGATTGAAGGCTCAAACTGTTTAGTCTTAGAACATAGCATAGATAAAACATAATCCTAGATTTCCCATCCCTATGGAACAGATGAAGCCAATTTATGGAATGTAAAGCACAAATCGTGAAATTAACCCTAAAATAATATAAACAAAATGTCGACAACACCAGCAATCAGTGTCACCAGACATGAACTAGACTCGAAAAACGAGATCAAAATTTACAGTCTACTTGTGTTGGCTAGGGGTTATAGGCTATAATAGTAGGTACAAGCATAAAATAAATATACATAGGTACTATAAATACATTTATATAAACTATGATGTTTATTAATCTATGGTACTTAGAGTGGGAACTCTCGTTTCATGAATGATATACTCGTAATAGCTTTGTTACTGACAAAGATCAGCCTTCAGATCACCCATGTCTGATGATAAAGGACAGCCTGTTATCATTGGTTTTTGGATATTATCTGTTTAATATGTATTACATTTTACCAATTCTCTTATTTAAAACACAAAAGACATGATTGGCCTTCCATGTATTAGCTTGGAAAACCAATTTTTAATCAGAATCTTTTGAATTGTGGAATTTGGAGAGTTTTGGCCCATTATATCAGTGTTGGGAAATATAGGCGTTTAAGAGTCGTTAAAAAATATTTATCACTGTTCCGTTTTCTTGTTATTTCAATAGTTATATTTTTAGGACGAATTTGATTTTAGGCCTATATAGGCCCTAAATATGTTCTTAGTTCTTAGGGTACAAAAATGTATTACTGTACATTTAAACGTGTTTTAGGTAATCGTAGGACTCATTATCAAGCACACTTATACTGTAGTTGTTTCTTCTTTACCTGCCTCACAAAATCAAAATAAACACATTCACTAATTTTGAGGAAATATTTTTTATGTCTAGGTTTAACCTCAATCAAGGTAAAAGCTTAGGTTATCCGATTACAATGATACTAGTGGCTTGTAGGGGCAATAGCCCCTATATATATATTCTAGTAAATATTTTGTACAAATTATTAGTCTCATGGGTTACCCTACCTTGAATTATCGTTTAACATTTTTGTATATTATAATATGTATAAAAGTTATTACATACCTGCATAATGCAATTTTTTGATGTCTGTTCTGTTTAAAATATAGATTCCAAAGGACTGTTCATGTAGTGTGTTTATAATACAAACTTTCTAATCATGATATACATCTAAGGAAGATTTTCAATAATAATCTTCATGACTATTAATTAAATATTTATCAATTCCTTTGAATATAGACAAATTCACTTAAATAAAACACATAGAGATAATGTCATCCTCCAAATTGTATAATGCTAATTATAACAAAATCTCTCTAAAGACAACAGAGTATAGTATCCATTTTAATCGAATCCTTGGTCTTTATTTTGTTCTAGTACTATTTTAACATCATCTGGCAACTTTAACCGGCTAAAAGCTACATAAAGTTGACCATGGGTAAACACGGTTTTTTTTTTCAAATAAATGCCAACTTTTTGAAGGTTTGGCCTTGCGCTTTATTTATAGTAATATCGAAAGCTCATCGCAATAGGAATTGAATTCCTAAACTTAAACGGCATATCAGGATCTTTAGATGTTAGTTTTATTTTTGACATGAAAAATATGTTCCCTTTGCCTACTCCAGTAATTACTTCTAACTTTACACTTTTTTCAGACATACCTAACACAACTAATCTTATTCCATTAACTAATCCAGACCCTGGAAAAAGTCTATATTTCAGCTTTATAATAGTATACATATTACAGTACATATTACCATATGCTTTAAATTAAATAAACCACATGTTTTTAAGTAACCAAAGCAGACATGACCTGGATTCCCATGTTATTTAAATGTAAATTATTTTATTACGTAACGACCTTTTGGTGCATAATTAAGAAAAATGAATAATTTTCCCCAAAACTTCATGCCCAGACCTTTAAAATGAGACCTCTCCCAGCTTTCTACGGCCTCCCGTTCGCTCACAATTTCATTGTAAAATTTTGGGCTTACGGAATTAGATATATAGATTCACACAGGCGGAACTAAATACTACGCATTCAAGTCAATTGACATAGTTTCGCATTTTCATCACTTAGAAATGGGCCAAACTCAGTTTCTAAACTGTGAGTAAATTCCACAGCGATTGGTCCTGGGACCCAAAGATATGGTCCAGAATCTCGAGATTTAAAAAAATCGCGCGAAATCGTATTCGCGATTTACCATCCAAAATATCGAACGGATTCGGTTTCATTCTTTTTTACGCTCGCACTTTCCTCTAGTGCGTATGTATGCAAAACAGTGGACAGTGACGCTATCAATTAATTGGATTCCAAAGTATCCGCGTTGTTTTAACAGTTTCACTTTCGTTCAGTTGTAAAATGGTTTCCCCTCGATGTAAGTGGTAAGCGGTTTTTGTTCGGTTGACTTTTACTTTCCTCGGAGTCCGTTCACGCTCAGTGCAAGATTTGGTGGTTGCTTTGTTTCAATAACGCGTATTATTGCAGTGTTTATTAGTATTTTTCTACAGATAAATGACAAAGCAGGCTTTCTAGCACTGATTATAGCACGCAAAGTAGCTAATTTCTGCATTTACTTTGCCGCACTCATTTTAATCTGCCGTACTCCAGTATTAAAAAAAAAAACTGTGTGCTTCTATAAGGCACGTAATACGTGGACGCTTGAAAATAAGTTGGCAACACATTAGACTACGATCAGCTGCTGCAGCGTATCCAGCCTTCGAGTATTGATACTACCATTACGACTCCTGTTGTTTCGTGTTTACATTATATTTTCGTTTAGCACTCGGATTTAACGTAACCTATAAGGTCTTGTTTAGTGTTTGAGTTACTAGTTTATATGTTACTAGCTGTGTACCCGTTCTACGCACGGGGATCTTATAATATTCAGTTGAAACCTTCTTATATAACGAACAGCAGTTGGTTTGCATATTTTAAGATATGCTGGCCAAACTATTATACATAGCTTCATTTTATGTTGTTTTTTGTTGTTCCGGATCGGTATGACAATCAATAAAAGGTTAAATTACCTCTGTGTCTGCCGGTCGATCCTATAACGGTAGGCTTACTTTTATTTTTACTATCTGATCTCGTTTGCATGGCTCAATCACGTCCTGGTTGAAGTTCGTTCGCTACGCTCACTCACCTGTATGTTGGAGCTCGTTCGCTGCGCTCACTTTCCTTCAGGTTAGCTCGTTCGCTACGCTCACTTGCCTTCAGGTTAGCTCGTTCGCTACGCTCACTCGCCTCCAGGTTGCAAATTAGCTGTTGTCATAAATGTAAAAGAA